ATCCCTTTTTAAAAATGGTTAAAAATGAGCTGGGTGCTAGTGGCTCATGCCTGTAATCCTAGTTACTCAGGAAGCTGAGATCTGAGGATAGCAGTTCAAAGCCAGCCCAGGCAGAAAAAAATCGATGAGCCTCTTATCGCCAATAAATTATACAGACAAAGCCAGAAGTGGTGCTGTGGCTCAAGTGATAGAGTGCTAGCCTTGAGCACAAAGAAGCTAAGGGACAGTACTTAGGCCCTGAGTTCAAGCCCCAGGATTTAAAAAAAAAAAAAAAAAGTTTAAAACGGACAGGAGCTCTTTATCTAATTCTAACCCAACCTCAGTGAGTTTGGAGTACCTAGTATCTTATAAGATGAAAAAAAAATGCAACTAGTTTTCACTGAGAATATTTTGATACCTACTCACCAGTATACCTCCTCTTACATTAAAATTTCCCTTAGAACACTCTCCAGTAACTTCACTGCAGTTCTCCCACTGCATTAAGTAAGGGGTTTATTGCTGCTTTTCCTGAGGGGCTGGGAACTAACCCCAGGGCCTGCACATGCTAAGCGACACTGTACTGCAGATCCTACTGGGAATACCAGATTGGTGGCTGGATTGAGGGAAGGCTGGGGACTACCCCTCCATTTCTATCTCTTTATTGATCATGGCCATGGAACTTGGTTGGAGCCATTGACTTGAGAAACCAGCATGAACCCATATTCTGCTGTATTGGGAGTCTTGTTCTATATTTTCCTTCCAGATCTGTCCTGGTGTCATTTGAGCATGTTGATAGTGTTGCTAGATGTCACAATATTGATCACTGTGACTACCTGTCTTGGAAACTGTGACTTGAAGTGTCAGTGGCTCTGTGAACTCTTCTGCCTGAACAAGCCTTGATGAAGCCCAATGATGCAAGTGTCAAGGGAATCTAGGCTTGGTGCTTGTTACAGGCTGGGCTTGTTCTGACAGATGGTTTGGAGGGGATGGGACTAACCCTTCTGGAGGCCGGCCTCACCGGTCTATTATTTATAGGAAATACAGTAAGGAAAGAAGACAAGTTTCTCCCTCCGTTTTACCAGCATTCCTCACCCACCCCCATCTCCTTCAGTTTCTTCCTCACTTTTAATTCCTTTAAACTTATTGGGAAATGGCAAATGGCATTTATGAACTTCATTCAGCCTTTTCGCAAAGCTTCAGGATATTATTCGAAGGTAATTAGCTACGTCAAAAATCTCTCCTTAAAAGTGAATGCCATTGAAAATACCAGATTGTTTACTCAAGTATAACCTTTATTAATGACCAACAGAAGCCATGAGTGAAAGTGTACATTACCTCCTGGGAGACCAGAGGATATCCTACGTTCTGGCCTGTTGAGAACTCTGCTTAAGTCCACTTTGCTAGGATTTATGAAATGCTTTGATTGTCTTCTCTCGTTGCAACCCAGAACTGGTGCTGACCTAGATCTGGATTCCTGTGAAGTGTTCCGAGTGTCGTGTTTGCCAGAGCAAGACTGAACTATCCAGGACAGGACTGTGGGCCTGAAAAAACTGCCCGTGGGCACAGCAGCAATCCTTTTCTAGCCTATCCCTGCTCCCAAAGAGCACATGCTTCTACTGCATAGCTCCAGAGATGCACGACTGGGCATGTGTGCACGTGGTATTCTAACCTGGTGAACATAGCAAACAAGGTTTCATGCTTTTCAGAGCAGTACACTTGGGAATTCCAAAGACAACTCCTAAAGAAAACTTTACCCACTTAGGAGTTCTGACCAGTGTCCAGTCTGCACAACCCTTTCCCTGATTCTCATATCCCCTCCCCACACCTCAAAGATGGATGTAAGTTTGCTAGTATTGGGGTCTGGGTCCCTCCCACCCCTGCCCTCCCTGCAAGCTTCCAGGGCTTTGTTTGAGGCTCTGGGAGGAACAGTTGTGACTTGCACTGTGACTCACTTGACTCCCACCCTCCACTCTGCCTCTGGTTCTGATTGGTGGGCGCCTGCTCGAGCCATATGGCTGGAGACTACTCTCACTGCACCCTTCTCCCTCCTTTTCTCTGCTGTGCCTGCTGTTGTGGGTAATGCGGGAATGGCCCGGGCATGGTCTTTCGTTCTAGTTTACTTCAGTTAGGCATTAAGCAGGAGCACACCATGGCTGTAGAGGAGGAAAACACAGTGTCCTCGTGTGCCTGGTACAGTAATTACTCAGTTTCCTGCACTCCTGTGCTGGTTTTGTTCAGCAGTAGTTTAGGAGATGGCTGCTTTTTTTGTTTTTTTTTTTTTTGTCAGGTGTCACATTTGTATTATTGCTTCCTGGTTTCTTTCCTCAGTTTGTTTTGTTGTTGTTGTTAAGCGTTCTTGGAGCTGCTGTGGCTGCTGATACTGCACATTAGCCAGCTTGCTGATGTATTAGTGTGTGAGAGAGAGGAGGACTGAAAACAACTTGAAATGACTATTTCATTTTAAACATCTAAATGTTCTGGCAAGCACCAAGCAATAAAGTCTACACGTGAGACTCAAAACTATCTGCAGCACACTAGCACTTCGCCTCCTTGGAAATGCAGTACTTCCATTCCCTGCCTGTTACACTTAAGAAATAGAATATTGAACACATGAAAGTTAACTTTCATAAGCACTTGATCTTTTTAATTTATGTTCTTATTATTCTGTGAATGGATTCTGCAAAGACTTTGACCTCTGTATTCATGAAACAAAAAACAACAGCAAAACTTATTCAAAGAAGCAGTGTTAGCAGGATATATAATCTATAGCAGAATCGTTTTCCCCCCAAATTGTCCTTTATATGATATTTTCATTGTCTAAAAAGAATCAATAGCAACATAAAAATCTCTCAAGAATGTATTTTGTATTGACTTCAAGTTTTTAAAAATCCATTTTGCCAGCATTTTAATGTTCAAACATGTTGAGAGTTGGATTCTTTAGAGAATAAGAGTGGTAAAGTTGATTGGGGCCATAGTAGGAATTTGACAATTAATCTGGCTGATACGGCTTCCCTTACCCCTTTATTAAAGCTTTATACAAAGCTCAACTAGCACTGAACTTCTTTTTCTCCATCCGCAATCTGTTACAGAAATAGCAATCTTGTTATCAAAAACAGTATACTGCAGCAGAAGTCACTTGGAAAGGAAAAAGAAATGCTGCACATGCTTGTTTTTCAAGCCATCAGGACCAGAGAGTCAGAGTTCAGTCGGGTTCAAACGGTTGTTGCTGTCTGTACATATTCCCTGAGCCATGGCTAGTCTCCAGACCCATCACTTTACGGATACTGGGTAGGGAGTAAGGACATAGCTCAGCAGCATAATACTCAGTGCTGAGGCAGTTGTGAACAATAGAGGTCCCTGTCGTTGTACAGCTTACACCATGATGAATGGCACTCTTAGTAAGCTCCACGGTATAGTGTTTGCCTTGCACGTGCAGGCCGTGGGGTTAGTCCCCAGCAGCTCAGAAAAGGAAGGGAAGGAGGATGTATTGTTACAGCAATGAAGGTATCAAAAATTATATTGGTTTGGCTTTGAACAAGGCCTAGTAAGTTCAAGAAGCTTGAATTTAAAATTTCCATGCCATATAGCTAAATTTTTGCCTAAATAAGTATTTCTACAGCTTCCCAGCAAAGAAGTTCTTCTGAAGAGCTACACATATTGGGAAGTGGAGCTGTGGCTCAAGTGGTAAAGCTCCAGCCTTGAGTGAAAAAGCTAAAGGACAGCACCAAGGCCCTGAGTTCAAGCCCCAGGACTGGTGGACTGGCAGAAAGGGAGAGGTGGGAGAAGAGAGAGAGAGAGGAATTTATGATGTCTGGTTGTTGAGTCCATGTGTGTATGTGTGTGTTTGAGACTTGAACTTAAGACCTGGGCACTGTGTTTGAGGATTGGGTCCCTGAGTTTTTATACTCACAGCTCCACTTCCAGCTTTTTTGGTGGTTAATTGGAATTGAGTCTCATGGACTTTCTTGCCCAGGCTAGCTTCGAACCATGTTCCTGAGTAGCTAGGATTACAAGTGTGAGCCACAATGCTTGGCTATGATGTTTGTTGTTTATATTGCATTTGCTGATGTCATGGTTTTCTTTTAAAAATCTACTTAAGATTTTATACCGTATTAGATACGTACTATGTCTATATTATCAGATGTGAAAAATAATAGTAATCAATATTGTTCCAATTTCATTATTCTGAATTCTTCAGTTCACATTATGTGGTCTTGAGTTGTATTTGTATATTCAGGTGTGTGTTTGTATATACACACACATACATGGGTACTGTCATACCGAGATACGTGTTCATTTGATACTCATAAAAACCATGATGATTTCTCATGATACTGTTATCACTCACTTTATAGATCAGCTCATTGAGACACAGGTAAATTAGGACATTTGCACAACATCTTATAGCTGGGAAAAAAATCAACTAAGCTTAAAATTTAGTTGTGCATTTGCTACTATTATCATTCTTCTCATTTGGCCTAATGTGCTAAACTTACAGTCAATAACTTTGACCTGAATATGGTGATGTGCTTCTGTGAGTGTCAATTCTCAAAAAGCTGAGACAGAACTCTGAGTTCAAGGCCAGCATAGTCTCCATGGATAGAGACCCTATCTCAGAAAAAGAAAAGAGATTTGAACTCTCCTTCACTTTTTTATCTGTGTGCCTCAATTTCCCTTTATATATAAAGCACTACTTAGACTGTTTATTTTATTTTTTTGTCTTGGTCCTGGGGCTTGAACTCAAGGCCTGTGTGCTGTCCTGGAGCTTTTAGCTCCAAGCTAGCATTCTAGCACTTGAGCCACATCTCTACTTCTGATATACTGTTAATTTTATATAAATGGTAATGTTTGATAGGTTCTTTAAAACCCTCAAATATAGAACCTCTAAAATTTCAATGCAACAAGTTTTTGATGAAGCTAATTATAAGAAGGTACTAGTTGAATAAAATTGCTGAATATTTCTGTGCTTCTGATAAAACAATATCCTGATAGATGTTTGTTTGTTTGTCTTCATTTGATAGAAAAGAGTAGTCGAACAGCTACGGAAGAACCTGATAGTAAAGCAAGAACAACCAGACAAGTTCCAAATACAGCCATTGCCACAATCTGAAAATAAACTAACAACAGCACAGCAGCAACCACTACAGCAACTACAGCAGTACCACCACCACCACGCCCAGCAGTCAGCTGCACCCTCTCCCACCTTGACTGCTTCACAGGTAAAAGTGTGGATGGCGCTTGAAGACTGTATCACACACTGATGTGTTCATGGATCCTGTGTCGGGTATCCTAAGCTCCACTAGCACTAAATGAAGCTTTTCTAGTTACTTCTTGTGACTGTAGCTGGAATTAGAATGAGTTGAAATTCACTACCAGGAGAAAAAGGAAAAAAAACTTACCTTTCTAAAAAGTAAAGAAAGGTAGTCAGTGATAAAGAAAAATCACTTCTCTATTAACAGAATCAAATTTTAGTTTGAATGTCTGGAGGTGATCATTTGTTCTTGTTCTAAAAGTCAGTGTGAGCCAATCCCTTCTGGAATTTTTCCTCCGGAATTCCTAGCAATTACACGTGGAACTAATTGAGATGGACACACTTGGGACCAGGTGGAAAGAGGCATTCCTAAGGATGCTGTTTTTATTATTCATAGAAAAAAATCTTCATTTTAAGTCCATATTCATGAAAATATGCATGTGCTCTAATACACTGATGGGGATCATAAACGAGAACTACATGCACAAACTGGAGCCAACAGAAGCTTTGTAATGCACCTTACCTACCAGCTTAGAAACTAGCATAAAGTGTAAGGGTCATGGGGCCATAGAGACTCTCAAAGGATGCACGTGGAGGTGATGTTCACTAAAGAAAACGCTTCAAGCTTAGTCTCCAGATGCTGACCTGCATTATGGAAGGGACTCATTTAGGTCCTTGAGACCACATGCCCTTTTCACACTATTGTAAGCTGTCACTCCCCAATACACATATATACTTAATATACCTCCTTTTGCCAGCACCAGGATTTGAACTCAGGGTCTCATGTTTACTCGATTTGATTCTTCATCTTGTTTTCTTCCACTGGAGCCACCTTCTAGCCTTAGCTTTTTGTGGGGTATTTTGGAGATGGAGTCTTCTGCACATTTCTGCCTGGACTAGCTTTAAACCACTGTCCTCCAAATCTCAGCCCCCTAAGTAGTTAGGATTATAGATTCAGCCACCAGTGCCAAGAAATACACTTAATTTTGTACATTTCCAGAGCTTTGGGATCTTCCGAAAACAAATCATGTACTCCTTCCACACATCAATGCTTAATTATGTATGTATGTATATATATGCATATGCATATGTGTATATATGCATATATATGTATATTGTACATGTGTATACATATATAGTATGTGTGTAAACACACACATACATGCCTATAAGCCAAGCTACTTAGAGGCAGAAAGATTTGTTTGAGCAAAATGTTGGTGAGGTGTCATCTGAACCAATAAACTGGACATGGTAGTGCACAACTGTGCTTCCAGTTATGTGAAATGTGTAGGAGGATTTCAATCTGAAGCTAATTTGGGCAAAAATTAAAGACCTTGTCTAAAAAGTTAAGCCCAGAAGAGCTGGCTGGAATATGGCTAAAGTTGTAGACCTCCTACCCAACAACCTGAGGCCAAGTTCAATCCACACCCGTTCCTCCTCCCTCAAAAGGAAGTAATTCTCCTGACCTGGGCCAACATTGCTTCTATAGGATGACTTTTGTTAGTTTTAAACAAAGCTGGGTTAGGTTATTCTCTTCCAAAACACCGTTTAATCAGAAAATGTGGACATGGAAGGAGTGTGGTAGCATTTGTTGTTTCCTGGCACATAGGAGTTCTCTATTCCAATGACATGCCGTGTTACACAAGTCAGGAATTATTTATGACATACTTAAAATACTTATAATAGCTCTTCCCTTGCTGGTCATGCAAGCTCTGTACTGCTTAGGGATGGTGGGCAGTGAGGGGTCTGGACTAGCCCCAAACAGTTTTATATAGCATCTCTCCATCTGCTAACCCACCTGACATCAATTGATTAACCTTTGCTTTACATTGTTTTGTTTAATGCAAAGGTCTCATGTTAAGATCCAAAGGATCCCCTAGGCTTTTGGTGTTTATCTTCACAATAAACTGTCCTTCAATATACATTGAATGTTGGCTACGTGCTAGATTCTGGTAGATGAAGAATGACAGTCCTTACCAAGGATCTGGTACACTGTGATCATAAAATTTCCATTCATTGCAAGAGTAGGGAAGTGAAAAGATGGGTGCAGGGCCCCAGGTGCCAGTGTCCTGTGATGCTTTGCCTTGCTAAAGTGTTCCGCGACAAATAAGGTGTTTCCCAGCTAAGGCCTCTTAGAAGAAATCAGCTGTACACACGAGTGTGTACTGCACTGAGAACTCCATTTCTCCCCTGCCTTGGAGAGAAAGATCCATGGGTTCATGATCTGTATTTTGCTACTGAGATAAAAAGGAACTTGTGCTAACAACAACAACAAAAAAATTTCCATTCATTCTCTAAATACTTACTGAATCTCTACTATTGCAAGCATCGTGTTTGGCAGTGTTGAAGCTATGTTCACAAATAAGATTGTTTCTGTTTTTAAGAATTAAAAAAAAAAAAAGCTGGGCGCTGGTGGCTCACGCCTGTAATCCTAGCTACTTAGGAGGCTGAGATCTGAGGATTGAGGTTCAAAGCCAGCCCGGGCAGGAGAGACCGTGAGACTCCTATCTCCAATAAACCACCAGAAAACCGGAAGTGGCGCTGTAGCTCAAGTGATAGAGCGCTCGCCTTGAGCTGAAGAGCTGAGGGACAGCGCCCAGGCCCAGAGTTCAAGCCCCACGGCCGACCAAAAAAAAAAAAAAAAAGAATTAAAAAAAAATAGAGTGCTTTGCTAGTGGCTCATTTCCATAATCCCATCTACTCAAGAGGCAGAGATCAAAAGATCATGGCACCAAGCCAATCCTGGGCAAAAAGTTAGTGAGATCTCACCTAAACAAATAGGCTGTGTGTGGTGGCATACTCTTTGTAGTCCAAGTTAGGCAGAAGGCCTAGATAGAAAGATAGCAGGCCAAGGCTGGGCAAAAATGCAAAGACTCTACCTGAAGAAGCAAAGCAAAAAAGAGCTTCAGGCATGGATCAAATGATAGAGCACCTGCCATGCAAGCACGAGGCCTAGTGTTTAAACCCCTTGTATTGTGCTCCCTCTTCCAAAAGAAAACAAAACATAGAGAGGAAAAAACAAACCGTTACAAAACAAAACTAGAAATAGCAGTAGAGAGTGTAAAAAAAAATACCGGAAAACAGGGCAATTTTAATCAGAACGATCATAAAGTCCCTCTGAACAAGCACAGATATAGGAAGATTGCAGTCCAGACCAACTCTGGCATAAAACACAACCCTATCTAAAAAATAACCAATGTACAGTGTACACAGTGGCTGGCAGATTGAGTCAAGAAGTAGAGGACCAACCTAGCAGGCTGAGACCTGGAGTTCAAAGCCCAGTAAAGGAAAAGAAAGGGATGGAAGGAGGGAGGGTAAGAAGGAAAGGAGGGAAAGGAAAGGAAAAGAAAAAGGAAAGGAATATGCAAAGCTGAACTAGGTCATGCAGCTTGTTCTTTGAGTATCCATAAAACTGAGGCAAGAGGACCATAGGTTCAAAGCCAGCCACAAACCATAAGGCGAGATATTGTCTCAGAAACAGAGCAAGCAACGCAGACTCCAGTGGCTCATGCCTATATTTCTAGCTACTAAGAAGATTGATATCTGATGATCATGGTTCGAGGCTAGCCCAGGAAGAAAAGTCTTAAGATAGAGACTGTTCGGTTAGCCAGCAAAAAAAAACTGTACTAGAAAAGTAGCTCAGGGTGATAGGGTCCTAGCCTTGAATGAAAAAGCTAAATAAGGGTACAAGGCCTGAGTTAAGGTCTCAGTACTAGCACAAAACAAAGGAAAAAAAACAAACATGAAAAGATAAAAGTGTTAAAGCGTGAGATGTAAGAGAGCCAAGCAAGAGCATGAGGCACCAAGTTCAAGCCCCAGTACCTGCGCACACACCCCCAAAAGAAAACAGTAATGACAACAAAAAATACATGCCTTAGGAACAGCAAGTAGACTGTTGTTGAAGTACAGAGTCCATGAACTGATGGGAGGGGGGAGGGGGGTAGAGCCAGAAGAAAAAACACCAAAAACTTGAGTATTCTGTCAGTCCTAGGGAAGTAATGAAAGGATCATAAAAGCAAAGGTTTTATTTATGTATAATACATGAGATTATATATGTATTAAATACATAATATGTGTGTATGTATATAAATATATATATATATTACATAACCAGAAAGGAATACTGAGCCATTAGTGGCCAGGGGAAAATGCTAGAGAAAGTTTTTTTGATTTCAAGTTAAGTGATTGGAAAATACCTAAACCCAGAGAACACCAAAAAGTCTTTCTGAGGAAGGGTAAGCCCAGTTCCCTTTACCAGGTTAGCTCCAACTGAGGAAAAAGTGAAAATGAAAATCTAGAACCTGCAAGTACATGCATACTTTCAACCTGCCTTCACAACTCTTCTTTTATTGTGTGTGCACTGGTCCTGGGGCTTGAACTCATTGTGTAGGCACTACCTCTGAGCTTTCCTGCGCAAAGCTAATATCCACGAGCTACAGCTCTACTCCAGGCTTTTTTGGTGCTTAATTGGAGATAAGAGTCTTACAGACTTTCCTACCCAGGCTGGCTTTGAACCTTGGTCCTCAGAGCTCAGCTTCCTGAGTAGCCAGGATTATAGGCATGAACCTCTTGCACCCAGCTACAGCTCTTTTATTTTTTAATGATAGAATGAAAAGTGCAAATTTACTATGATGTATTTAAGAAGAGTGCAGTTAATAAAAACAAACCCTTAAGAGATAAAAGGAGGGAGAATTCTATTTGTAGATGTTTGAGTGCATGACAGTGACCTTCCAGTCAAAATGAAGCAAACAATGTAAAATAGATGTGTAGGTTAATGAGAGCCTGTGGTAATAATTCCTCTAAGTTCTGATTTGTACTTCAGCATTTGTCTGTTTTAAGTATTTTTCAGGTTAATGACAATAACACTGTAGCAATTAATTAACTAATTAATTGCTGCTAGTGTTATTTGCAATGTATTTCTCATGCAATTTGGGTCCTGTCAAAATTAAAGAACTTACCAGAGGGAAACAGGTGAAAAAATACAGCAGAGAGGTATCTATCAGCTGCACTGGACATTGATGAATATAAACTAAGCAACTCAAGAGCAATGATGGCAGGGAGAGAGGGAGGAAGAGAGAAAGAGGGAACAGTTTACATTAAGCAAAAGGAAAAAAATGTGCATATCACCCAATTTGGAAGAAATAGTTATATTGTCAAAGTTTGTAGAGTTCACAAGCTTTATAGACCATGATAATGACAACTCACCTTGTGAAGGTTCAAATGTGTTTGTGACTTTAGCTAAGTATCACTATCCCACAATATTGTGAAGTTTATGTAATTACCTAATCTCAATAAAGAAATAAAGATAAATTTATAATAAAACAAAAAAATTAAAGAACTTTATGAAACTGTCAAGTAGCTCTCCCTCATCTTGAAGAGCATAAAGTAACCAAGAATAATTAGAGCTTCCATAAAAATAATTTTCTCTGTTGTGGGGCAGTCATTTTCTGTTTTCCCTTCCTGCCAGACAGTTCAGACATTTGCATTAGGCTTACATTTTGATTCCCTTTCATATCTAACCTTAACAAACCAATAGTTTATTTTCCTTGATATTGAGAGTTAGAGGAAGCACCAGACCAGGAGTGGAAATTGAAGTAAACTGATGTAGTATCAGTGAACAGTAAATTCGTTCTTTGAGAAGTTTTTGCTGAAGCATTCAGTACTAGATCCTGTGCCTGTACATCAGAATCATATAGATGATAGAATATTTGCTATGAAGTCGGCCACAACTTAAGTACTTGCAAATAAAATATAAATACTAACTTATAAGATGTGAACAAACTTGTCAGGTTTCAGTGTTATTTAAGCATTGGGGTATCAGTAAGGTAGATTTCAGGTTTTATTCAGTATTTCTAGAAAAATCAGTTAAATATTGATCATTAAAATATTGATAATGATTTACCTGAACAAAGGTTATTTAAAGCAAACATACATTGCATGTTTTAAAGCAGTAACAAGGGGATGAATAAGATCAAAGTACACTGTGTGCATATATGGAAATGTCATGATAAAATGTCCTGCTATATACAATTTCACATATGCCAATTAAGAAAAGAAAGAAAGCTGTCACAAAACGCAGAACTATTTTCAAAATCCATATCATTGCTGGGTGCTGGTAGCTTACATCTGTAATCCTAGCTACTCAGGAGGCTGAGATCTGAGAGATGATCATGGTTCAAAGGCAGCCCAGGCAGGAAAGTCTGTGAGACTCTTTTTTTTTTTTTTTTTTTTTTTGTCGGTCATGGGGCTTGAACTCTGGGCCTGGGCGCTGTCCCTCAGCTCTTCAGCTCAAGGCGAGCGCTCTACCACTTGAGCTACAGCGCCACTTCTGGTTTTCTGGTGGTTTATTGGAGATAGGAGTCTCACAGTCTCTCCTGCCCGGGCTGGCTTTGAACCGCGATCCTCAGATCTCAGCCTCCTGAGTAGCTAGGATTACAGGCGTGAGCCACCAGCGCCTGCCATCTGTGAGACTCTTATCTCCAATAAACCACTCTGAAAACCAGAAGTGGCACTGTGGCTCAAGTGGTAGAGTGCTAGCCTTGAGCTGTAGAGCTCAGGGACAGTGCCCAGGCCCAGAGTTCAAGCTGCACAACTGACAAAAAAAAAAAAAATCCCTATAATTGATTCTGCCGATCAGAGCTTTCCTTCTATAACCAGCATTGAATGCATACCACTTCAAAAGGTCTTTGTATTAAACTTAAGGCTGATATCAAACTATGTTTTAAAACACACACACACACACACACACACACACACACACACACACACACACACACACACACACTTAAACCTCTCTTATTACACATAGCTGACATTAGGTCTGTAGAAGTAACCCAGGGTAGAGTGCTTGCCTAGCATCCTTATGGCCCTAGGTGTTTGATTCCTAGCATTATAGAGAAAGAAAAGAAAAAGAAAAATGCTGCTGGGCACTGGTGACTTATACCTGTAATTCTAGCTACTCAGGAAGCTGAGATCTGAGGATTGAGGTTCAAACCCAACCCAGACAGGAAAGTCTGTGAGACTTTTCTCCAATTAACCATCAGAAAACCAGAGGTGGCACTGTGGCTCAAAGTGGAGTGCTAGCCTTGAGCCCAGGCCCTGAGTTCAAGCCCACAACTGATCAAAACAAACAAACAAACAAAAAGCAACTGTGCTATAAGTCTTTGCTTTAGTTTCATGTTTGGGGAAACAGCGACGGGAATAAGCCACTGTGGTGTTATTGCCTCAGAGAAGAAGAATCAGAGATTAGGTAATTTTAATAAAGATGATTGATTAAACTATGATTATTAATATCTTTTAAAAATAAAAGAAGTTGGGCTGGGAAGGTAGCTCAGTGGTAGAGCGCTTGCCTTGCATGCCTGAGGCCCTGGGTTCGATTCCTCAGCACCACATAAGCAAAAAAAAAAAAAGCCAGAAGTGGCACTGTGGCTCAAGAGGTAGAGCACTACCCTTGAGCTGAAGAGCTGAGGGACAGCGCCCAGGCCCAGAGTTCAGGCCCCACGACCGGACCCAAAAAATAATAATAATAAAAATAAAACAAAAGAATATAAAATATACATTGTTTGTGGATATAAGGCAGAAGTGGAAATTGATTACCTATACTCAAAGAATTTAATACATGGGTACTAAAATAGAAATTCATAAGAGAAGTTGGTATGCCTCGGAGAAAATAAGAGTGCTTTTCACTAGTATGGGATCTTCTGCAGTGTTAAAAAATGTTCTCTATGGGGCTGGGAAGGTGGCTCAGTGGTAGAGTGCTTGCCTTCCATGCCTGAGGCCCTGGGTTCGATTCCTCAGCACCACATAAGCAAAAAGAAAAAAGCCGGAAGTGGCACTGTGGCTCAAGTGGTAGAGCACTAGCCTTGAGCTGAAGAGCTGAAGGACAGTGCCCAGGCCCAGAGTTCAGGCCCCACGACTGGACAAAAAAAAAAATATTCTCTATAGTCCCTGTCCATTAGCCACCTGTGGTTTTTGAACATTTGAAATGTGGCTAACGCAACTAAGGAACTGATATTTAATTTGAGTTTTTTCCATTTAAAAATTTTTGTTATGTACAGGTCCTAGGGCTTGAACTCAGGGCCTGGGCACTGTCTCTGAACTTTTATACTCAAGGCTAGTACTCTACCACTTGAGCCACACCTTCTACTTCCAGTTTTTTTGATGATTAATTGGAGATAATCTCATGGACTTTCCTGCCTGGGCTTTTGTGCCGGGGCTGAATCTCCAGATCCCCAGATCTCAGCATTCTGAGTAACAAGGATTACAGGTATGAGCCACAGTGCCTGGCTATAATTTTTTTTTTTAATTAAGCCTGGTGCAGATGGCTCACACCTGTAATCCTTGCTACCTAGAAGGCTGAGATCTGAGAATTATGGCTCAAAGCTAAGCCTGGGCAGGAAAGTCTGTGAGACTCTTATATCAGAAAACTGGAAGTGGAACTGTGGCTCAAAGTGGTAGATCACTAGCCTTGAGCAAAAAAAGTTCAGAGACATTGATCAGGCCCTAAGTTCAAGTCATGACCAATCAAAACAAAAAAAGGAGGTTGAACTTTGGGCCTCATGTTTGTTGGGTGGGCATTCTACCAGTTGAGCTATACCTCCAGCCAGGCTTCTTGCTGGTTATTGTGAGTCTCTTCAATATTTTTTGTCTAGGCTGTCTTTAAATTACTATCCTCTTGATTGCAGTCTCCTAACTAGGATGACCCACCAGTGCCCAGCTTCTAATTTTAAAATTAAATAGTCACATGTGGCTAGTAGCTACCAACTTATATGGTGTGAATACAAATTAAGAACAGAAGGAGGAGTATGAAAAACAGTGCATTGGCCCAGATAAATGTACCTGTTCCTAAACCATCTGCATTTTGTGACTTATAGCACCAGATAGATATGTGTGCCATGTAATAAGGTTGTTTCTGCTCTCTTGCTTTGTCACTGACACTTGTAATTATTCTAGTCAAAAGTCTAGGAAAATGCAGCTTCAAAGCCGCAGTGGCACTTAAGGGAGCATCAGTCAGGTCCTCTCACTTCAGCTCAGCCTCTGATCTCTACAGCTTTTTGAAACTCAGGTGTTTGTTTCCATCTTGTCATGTTCCACTGAATCTTTGATCACTTCAGCAGCAGATCTTCAGAGAAAGGATTACAGTGACTTATCCCTTTGCTATCAAGAGCTGGTGCTCCCTACGCTAGTTGGCTAATATGGTTCATTAGCTGGTGCTTGGGATTTACTACCTCTGAGGCAACACTTGCACTAATCCTCATGTGAATTTCTCTCCTGCCACAACCGCCCCTGCCCCCCCCCCCCAGCCTCTGTGGCACAGGAAGCAGATAACTGTAATTTTATGATGGCTTTGTTCATACTGGTGAGGTTGTAGCATTAAGGGTAGAAATACTATGTACCTCATTGATTTGCAACTTGTAGAAAAATTGATTGATTTCTGGCAAAGATTTAGAAAAAAAAAATATTCTGTATCTGTAGATCTACTCCATTCATTGTTGAAAACCCTGTGCTTCTATAGTCATTAGAAAGTACTTGCCCATTTACAAGTGACACTCTAGCAAACTAGAGATTATCTTTCTCCCTAGCAAGAATTGTGCTCTATGTACACAAAAGAATTGTTATATAGAAGAACTTGATGGGTTATGAGAATTATTGCTTTGTTTCCTTTTGGAGTTCAGCAATATATTGTTCAATAGGATCACATTTCAGTGTCCTAATATCTGTTCTCCATGTCTCCTAGAAGACTGTAACTACAGCTTCTATGATTACCACAAAGACACTACCTCTCGTCTTGAAAGCAGCAACTGCGACCATGCCTGCCTCTGTTGTGGGCCAGAGACCTACCATTGCTATGGTGACCGCCATCAACAGTCAGAAGGCTGTGCTCGGCACTGATGTGCAGAACACACCAGTCAACCTCCAGACGTCTAGTAAGGTCACTGGGCCTGGGGCAGAGGCTGTCCAAATTGTGGCAAAAAACACAGTCACTCTGGTAAGCCAGCAGCTGCTCCTCATGCGTGCACACATGAAAGGGTTATACATTTGTAGACTATGTTCAGCGTAGCTCCTGTTCGATTTCTCAGTTTCTATAACTCTCTCCCAAACTCCTGTGTGGGCTTGATGAGGAAGTGTAGCGTCCCTTAATGTCTGCTCAGTTGGTTACAGAGGTGTCGTGATACCAGGGACCACATTTAGTGTACCGTCTGTGGTCAGAGTGTGACTTTGTTTGGGGAGGAAAATGTCCTTCACAGAAGTGCTTGCGGTTTCATTTCTCTTTCTCTTCTTCCTGTCCACTCTCCTCCCTGTGGAACTTGGTGTTTAAGCTTTCTTGTGCTGTATTGCTGCTTTGGAGAAAAGTCTCCACTAAATTCTTTTATTTCACTATGCCTTTCAACTGAAAGCAACCAAGACGTACTAGGAGTTGGTTGGGGCACACCTTTAAAATGCTGAAGATGCTCACATAGTAATGCATTAGTTGAGGAGGGAAAAAAAAAAAACAGAACAAAATCCTTAAACCAAGCTCTTTTGGAGGAAATATTTGGACAAGAATTGTTCATGAGATTTCTAGGGATAAAGTCATTCAGCAACTGATATTTTTAGATAATGAGGGGGAACTATACCAAAATTTTGATGTAAAATCAAAAGTAGGAGCCAAGAACAGGTGGCTCATGCCTGTAATCCTAGCTACTTGGGAGGCTGAAATCTGAGGATCACAGTTCAAAGCCAGCCCAGGAAGCAAAGTCCATGAGATTCCTATCTCCAATTAGCCACCAGAAAACCAGAAGTGAAGCTATCGCTCAAATTAATAGGGTCCTAGTCTTGAGGGAAAAAGCTCAGGGACAGTGTCCCAGCCCTGAATCCAAGCCCCACAACCAACTAACTAACTAAATAAATAAATAAACTATGAGTTCTTGGTGGCTTTTGAATAATGACAATGATGAGGAAAATAGAGAGCAACCAAGTGAAACTCCACCACTTATCCAGGAGTCCTTAGAGAAGCAACCAGATCACTTAGCTGGATGCTGGAAGTTACAGGTGAAACTCTTACCTCGGAAAAAGCCTGTCTGGCCAGGCAGCAAGTTTGATTTTACTTTGGATCCAGTTCTTATTTTTAAGATATGTAAATGCATGTATCCTTGAGTGTCAAAGGAAGTAGTCTAAGATTGCTGAACCTGCTGTGTTCTACGTGTGTTATGTGAAGAAACAGAAGCCTAGTTGGTTCCTTTCATGGGGTAAAGCATACGAGTAGGAAAGCAAAAAGTTTTTAGTGCAGCATTCATTCAGATGGTCAACTCTGCAGGGAAAGCTTGTAGAAATACTGTCTGATCCAGAGAATAGAAAAATGAAAATGCTGTAAGAGTATCTCGCTTTGATATCAAACGATGAACTTTGTTCCTCTTGTTCATTTATCTTTCCCATTTTTCTTAGCAGGTTCAGGCAACACCTCCTCAGCCCATCAAAGTACCACAGTTTATCCCCCCTCCTAGACTCACTCCACGTCCAAACTTTCTTCCACAGGTGAGTGAACCGGCGAGAAGTCCAGTGGTGGGCTGGGTAGGACAGAAAACCTCGTAGGCCCTTCCTAAGCAGCCTATCAGCAGGTTTATTGATTTAGTTGCATTCGGATTGTACTTCACTAAAAATTTCTCATGCCGATTTCTTTGCTACAAAGAAGCTAATGTCATGGCTTGTTAGCCATAGCCCAATGCAGGTAGCAATGTGAAGTGAGGGAAGAGAAAACTTCCCAAATTAAAAGCAGTTAAGAGCCGGGCACTGGTGGCTCATGCTTGTTATTCTTGACAACCACTGTTGAAAAGCCACTCTGGGCAGGAAAATTTGTGAGATTCTTATCTCCACTTAACCACCAAAAAGCTGCAAGGGGAGCTATGGCTCAAATGGTAGAGCACTAACGTTGAGCACAAAAGCTCAGGGACAGTGCCCAGACCCTGAGTTCAAGCCCCAGGACTAGCACCCAAAAAAAGCAATTAAGGTATTACATTACTGATGTGCTAGAAACATGTTTGGCATTAGGAAAAGAGCACAATTATGACTGTCTATTAGAAAACGAAGCAACACCAAATGGACCAGTAAGCAGTCTTACTTCCAAGGTTAGAAGGGTATCACTGAATCTCTACCTAGTCCTAGCCACCCTGCCTGCTCATGTTCTCCTGAGCGTGTTCTTCCATTCATGAGACGGACCTTCACCCTTCTCAAGGCAGATGGTCTGGGCCTTGAGAATTGTTGACTTGCCTAGGACAAAGGATAGGGCTAATGGAAGTCCTTGGTTTGCAGCAGAGAGAAGAGAAAGGAATTTTGTGATAGCAGCATACATGATTTACAAATTGCCTCTGAGGAGAGATTGGAAGTAATAAGATAAGGTGATTCAGTCATTGATCAGATAAATCTTTAATAATAAATACCTTATGAGCAAACATTACACAGAGCCACTGTTTTTAAGACAGAAGGTTCTCTGTCATCAGAGATCTTCAGAGACAGCTAGGCAATGACAGTGCTGATGAAAGGGAATACAGAGAAGAATGGAAGCACATGGGAAAGACACCCAACCCATTCCTCAGAAAGTTTCCTCAAGGTTTTTTGTAGGAGGTGATATTCAATCTAAGACCAAAATCTTTTAAAATTAGCCTGACAAAGTTTTGGAGGAAGCGTCTTAGGCAGAAGGTAGAGCAAGCATATATGCATGGCTAAAATGGAGAACTGCGTGGAAGTTCCAGGAGTGAAGGAGGCTTGTGGTGGTAGAGTACAGAGGGCCAACAGCCTGGCCTGGGCTAGACTAGAGATGAGGCTGTGGATCCTTGCAGCCTATGCAAGAACCTAGGCCTTATCCTAGCAGTATTAGGTATCCATTAAAGAATTTGTAAGCAAGCTAGGCACTGTTGGTTCATGCCTATAATCCTAGCTACTCGGGATGCTGAGATCTGAGGATCACAGTTTGAAGCCAGCCAGGGCAGGAAAGTCTGTGAGACTCTTATCTCCAATTAAATCATAGAAAAAGCTGGAAGTGGCACTGTTGCTCAAGTAGTAGAGTGCCCAGGCCCAGAGTTCAAGCCTTAGGACTGTGGGGGGGGGGGGGGGGAAAGAGTTTGTAAGCAAGTACTTGACATGATCAGACTTTAGTAAATTCTCTCTTGGCAATGTTCAGGGAATAAATTAGAGATGGTCAATACTGTTGGTAGGAAGAACAGTTAGAACACTGTCAGTGATGATAATAGCTGATGTTTAGAGGATCTTGCTGTATACGAAGTCCTATGCTAAGTACCCCATGTGGGTTGGCTGTTCTCATTCTCAGAACAGCCCTGTGTAAGTAGGCATTGCTCTTTTTTTTTCCTTTTTTTCAGAAAGGAGTGGTCATAACCTCTTGATAAGCTGTGAAATCATTTCAATGTGTTGATAGTCCATGCTTTGCCTTCTATTTCATGTTTTTTGGTTTATAGAGATAAAAATATAAACCCATATGTAACTGATAACAATGTAAAAGTAAACAATGTAAAAGCACCCACCACAAAGTCGATTTAAGTTAAGCTTCACTTTTCCGAGTCAAAAGACTGTGGCGGGCCACATTTAACAGCAGTCTACTTGGAAACGATAAAGAGCAGAAACCACAGCTTGCCAAGCAACACAGCACCAGGCACTTTTCTTCAATGAAGTTCCTAGAGCAGCTATCCTGTCCCGAGATACTTCAGGATCAAGAACTGAGATGTGTTGTTGTTGTTGTTGTTGTAACAGTACTGAGGCTTTGAACTCAGGGCCTGGATGTTGTCCCTTAGCTTTTTCACCCAAAGCTGACACTCTACCACTAGCTCCACTTTCAGCTTGTTGGTAGTTAATTGGAAGTCAGATCTCAGCCTCTTGAGTAGCTAGGATTACAGATGTGAGCCACTGGCACTTGGCTAAAACTTGAGGTCTTTATCCAGAATGGTAGAGAGCTCCTCCAACATAGAAACCTGTGCTCATATGACCCAGGCTATCACATGACATTTCCATAGTTATGTCATTCAAGACCCCACAATAGACATGTTCAAGTTACAAGAGTACCCTTCTAGGAAAACCCTAGTATTGTGTTCTGAACATATTTATAGTCACATACCCAGATTCCATTCAGTGACTTCTTAGTGATTCAGCAGGAAGGGTTTTTTCCTACCAATGTGCCTGGTAACATAGTTGCTTTCTCACAGTTCCTGGGTTTCTGAAGGAACAGATGAAGAGAGTTGCCTGAAAGTTACACTCTCATGCATAAGAAGAAAAGTAACTTAGGCATAGAGTAAACTTCAAACTTTAAAACCACTGGCATAGAAAGATGAGATATGAGGTAACACGTTTTATTCTTTAGACTAGGATTTGTACCGGGGTAAAGCTGACTTCATACTTTTAAACACAAGTTTGGCTTTTTTCCCCCTTCAGTATTGAAGTTTGAACTCAGAGCCTTGCTTGCTACTCAGGTACTCTACTGCTGAGCCATGGCTCCAGCCCTCTTCTGCACTCAATTCCTACTTGGTCCATACATGCCTAGACTGTGATCCTCCTCTTTTAGGCTCTCCACAGTAGTTGTGATACTACTCAATATTACACCATACCCAGCTTCTCCATTGAGATGAGCCTTATGGACTTTTTTTGCTTGTGCTAGCCTGGAACTGTAGTCCTCCAATCTGAATGTCCCACATAGGTAGAATGACAGGCATGTGCTACCATGTCCAGCTACTGGTAAGGAGGAATCTCATGAACTTTTCTGCCTGAGCTGCCTTGAACCATGATCCTCCCATTCTCAGCCTCTTAAGGAGCTAGGATTATAGTCATGAGCCACCAATGGGGCATTTTGAATTTAAAATCACTGTTTCAGTGAGCCATAAATAAGCAAGAATAGTGACAGTGAGGATAGAAAGAAGTAGATAGATTTGAAAGGTACTGAGGAAGTAGAGAGAGTAGAAATAGTCAATAATGATTCTGAAACCAGGTATGGTGGGTTTACCCCTGCAATCTCAGTGTTCCTGAGGCTGAAGCAGGTGGTCAGAAGTTCAAGGCACTGTCTCTCCTTCCCTTCAAGAAATGATTTTGAAGTTTTATCAAGAGATGTCCGGGGCTGGGAAAGTGGCTCAATGGTAGCATGAGGCCCTGGGTTCAATTCCTCAGCACCACATAAGCAAAAAGAAAAAAAAGCCGGAAGTGGCCTGTGGCTCAAGTGGTAGAGCAGTAGCTTTGAGCTGAAGAGCTGAGGGACAGCGCCCAGGCCCATAGTTCAGGCCCCATGACCGCCAAAAGAAAAGAAAAGAAAAAAGAAAAGAAATGCCATTTATGGAGGTGATTAAAGGAAGAGCGGAGACTTAGAGCAAGAAATTGATACGTGGGAGACATAATGATTTTGAAAGTCTCATGAGAGGTCCAAGTAGTAATGTCTGGTTTAGTATGACTCTTCACTTCAGGAAGTGTCTCTGATCCAAAGGTAAAAGTGAAAGCTACAGCATAGAGATGGGAAGAGAGGCTGCAGTCTGGCCAAGGGCTTCTAGGAAGAGTAAGGACACTGGGAAGAAGAGGAGTTCCAGGACCTCATCCTGAGAAATACAACTGTTTAACAGAGAAGTGAGCCCACAAAAGGAGATGGAAGGAGTAGTCAAGAGGGGCAAAAGTAGGTGAACTGAAGCTTTAGATAAGTAAAAATTCAGCAGCATTACTTTTATACTGGGCACAAGTTCTGGGTGGGACCAGTCTCTGGGCCAGGCCTCTAACCCCTGCATAGCAGAGGAATCGAGGGTTTAGAATCAGAAGTACCACATGCTAGGGTAGTTTTGCATCCTCTTAGGAACTGATGAGTGAGTCTTTTATAAGATATGTCCTGAGATCTGTAAGTACCGCGTCACATATTTGATATGGAAGAGTTGGCATGGTTTAGACTTATAGGACTTGAGAAGTTTCTTTAAGTAATACAATAATTATTCTCTTTCCCCCATAGGTTCGACCCAAGCCTGTGGCTCAGAATAACATTCCTATCGCCCCAGCACCTCCTCCCATGCTTGCAGCTCCTCAACTTATCCAGAGGCCTGTCATGCTGACCAAGTTTACCCCCACAACCCTCCCCACTTCCCAGAATTCCATCCACCCTGTCCGTGTCGTCAATGGGCAGACCGCAACCATAGCCAAAACGTTCCCCATGGCCCAGCTCACCAGCATTGTGATAGCTACTCCAGGGACCAGACTCGCTGGACCTCAAACTGTACAGCTTAGCAAGCCAAGCCTTGAAAAACAGGTACGGGCAAAATATGCACCTGCTGTGGGCAGTAGCCCTGCCCTGAAGCAATGGCTGCTGAGCCATCTCTCAGTGCACCTTTTCAAGGGCTCCTCATCTAAGCACCTTTGTCAATATTCTGCTGCTTATTGTATGCTGTTTCCTCCACATGCAAAAGAGGCCATGCTTACTGAAGAAAGTTGGATTGCTTTTCCACCATTCATTCCCCTTGCAGATGGGCTTCAGATTCTTGTGTGAGTGAGCTCCCCCTGCTGGCTCTGATGCAGAAATTCACTGAAGTGATCTGCTGCCTCAGTGAGGATGTAGTAAACAGAAAACGCCATATTAGCTTCAGCCCAATAAGAACACAGATGAGATGACCGTGAAAGTAAGGATGACTAAACTCAGCAGAGAAAGGGTCTCACGTTAAATATTTTTCTCTATTATTGCTAGTGGCATGCACCCAAACAAACTAATTAAAATTTCCAAAAACCATCCCTTTAAGTCTGGAAGAAGCAGGCATTTTAGCTCAAATATTGAAACCTTTTGCTTATATTTTCCCATCAACTTTATCTCAAATTATTGAGACTAGAAATAGCAGAACTTCCATAAAAACCTTAAAGGTATTATGGCAGCTCTCTAAAAACCAAACCAAATCAAGGACTTCTACATAATCATTTTATCTATTTGATTAAAAAAAAAAACAGTAAAGAGAGAAAAGAAATTTGCAAAGAAAAGCATCCCCTTTTTAGACAGTTGCTTTAAGAAGTCATTGACCTATTTCTGATTGCTCAGGCCTGACCTCTCATTCCTGTGAAAATAGCCTCTGGGGATCCTTGTCTTCCAATTCTGGATGGTAGACCAAGATGCCAAGAGGGCAGTGACATGGTGGGGGATGAAAAGCTTCTTCATGTACTTAGCCTCCTTGAACAGAGGAGCCTTGGGCACATACAGCACCAGACTTGAACCCAGGCAGCTTATCACATACCAGACCTTGTGCTCAGAAAAGAAACTGCCAAAATCTTTTTTTAAGAAACATAAGAAAGCCAGGCACCGGTGGCTCACGCCTGTAATCCTAGCTACTCAGGAGGCTGAGATCTGAGGATCTCGGTTCAAAGCCAGCCCGGGCAGGAAAGACCATGAGACTCCTATCTCCAATGAACCACTAGAAAGCCGGAAGTAGTGCTGTAGCTCAAGTGGTAGAGCGCTCGCCTTGAGCTGAAGAGCTGAGGGACAGTGCCCAGGCCCAGAGTTCAAGCCCCATGACCGACAAAAAAAAAAGAAACATAAGAAAGAGTCTAGCCAAGTGCTGGTGGCTCACACCTATCATCCTAGCTACTCAGGAGGCTAAGATCTGAGGATCAAGATTCCAGGCCAGCTTGGGTAGACAAATTTGCAAGAGTCTTATCTCTAGTTTACTAGTAAAAGGCCAGAACTGGAGGCATGGCTTAAAGTAGTAGAGCACTAGCCATGAGCAGAAAAATCTGAGCGCTCAGGGTTCTGAGTTCAAGCTCCAGTACCAGCACAAAAGAAAAAACAAAAAGTAAAAAGCTCCTATCACTGTTCTAACAGGTAGGGAACCCTAAAGAAGTACTCTTAGAAATATTTAAAAATCAATGGTGTTATATTATTTTAGGTCAGAATTTTTGAGACCTACTGGCAGCAGACCGTTATATTAATATATTGAAAGTCAAATTCTCAAATGTAAGACTTGGGAGAAAATAAGTTTGGAAGACCCTGTGTCCTGTGCTGGTTCTTGGAGAACTCCCAAGGAACCTTAGCGTTCCACAAAGTTAAAGTTATGTTTGCACTGTACTATAGTATTCTTTTTTTGTGGAAAAAAATGTATATTTATAATTAGCCAGCTGGACTCAGTTTAGATGATCAAGTTTTTTTGGCAACATCTACAGCATCATAATCAGGAGCCAGTGGAACACATGCCTTCTTCTCTCCATCAGGTCTGATCAGGGTATTGACCTTGGCCACGTCATTGTCACAGAGCTTCTTCACAGCCTGTTTGATCTGATGCTTGTTGGCCTTGACATCCGCAATGAACACAGCTGTGTTGTCTTCTGCCTTCTTCATGACTCACTCAGTGGTCAAGGGGAACTTGGTGATAGTGTAGTGGTCAAGCTTGTTTCTCCTCGGAGCACTCTTCCGAGGGTATTTGGGCTATCTCTGGAGCCACCGGAAGGTGGGTGAAGTGCTTACCTTATTTTTGTGGCTGTGGATACCTTTCAGCACTGCCTTCTTGGCCTTCAAAGCCTTTTGTCTTGGCTTCAGCTTTGGAGGGGCAAAAGCTCCCTTCACTTTTGGCACCATCTTGTTGAAAAGGCTTAAATTTTTTATTCTTATTATACAGGTGATACGCAGTCCACTATAGTCTTAAGTGTGCAATAATACCATTATGTCTAAAATATGTATGTACCTTAGTTTAAAAGTACTCTGTTGCTTGGGCGGGGGGGATGCAGGGCATTGGGGGCTCATGCCTTTAATCCTCGCTACTCAGAGGCTGAGATCTGAGGATCACGATTCAAAGCCAGCCCAGGCAGAAAAGTCCATGAGACTCTTATCTCTAGTTAACTACCAGAAAACCAGAAAGTGGCACTGTTGCTCAAAGTGGTAGAGCACTAGCATTGAGTGAAAAAGCTCAGGGACAGTGCCCAGGCTCTAAGTCCACCCCCACAACTGACCAATCGGTCTTCAGTAAGTGGTGATCTCTGTTGCTAGTGGAGGGTCTTGCCTTGAGGATGATGGCTGGTAACAGTTGCAGTGGTGGGTGCTGAAGGTTGGGATGACTGTGGCAATTTCCTTATGACAACAATAAAGTTGGCTGTATCTGCTGACTTCTTTCCCTGAAAGATACTGTGTCATGTGAAGCTATTTGATAGCATTCTACCCATAATAGAACTTCTCCAGAATTGGAATCTTTTCAGTTTCTTAAACCCTGCTGCTCTTTATCAACAAAGCATATTTAATCTAAATGTTTCATTGTCATTTTGACAATGTCCCTAGCATCTTTGCTGGGATAGATTCCATCTTAAGAAATGACTCCTTTTGTACTCATCTATAAGAAGTAGCTCTTTATCACGAGATTGAGGTTCCACTTCAGGTTCCACTTCTAACTCTAGCCCTCTTTCTATTCGTACCACTTCTGCAGTGACTTTCTCCACTAAGGTCTTGTACCCCTCAAAGCTACCTATGAAGGTTGCAATCATACCAAAGTTCTATTATTGATGTTTTACCTCATCCTACGAGTCATGAATGTTCTTAACAATGTCTAGAATACTGAAGCCTTTCCAGGTCCATCAGAGGATTCCTGATGTAAGGCAGTTATAGCTTATGTAACGTATTTGTCCCTCCCTGCTCTATGGGCTGCAGGGTCAGCGGGCATGAAAACAACACAGAGCTCTTTGTACGAGGCCATCGGAGCTAGGGGTGAGCAGGTGCCCTGTCACTGAGCACCTGTTTTGTTGAAAGGAATCTTTTAGTCTGCGTAGTAGGTCTCAACAGTGACTAAAGATCCTCAGGAACCACCGTGTAGACAAATGAGCCACCATCTGGGCGTTGTTGTTGCACTGTTCCAGAGTTGACAGAGTGGATTTAAGATGATTCTTAAGGGCCCTAGGATCTCTGGATGATAAATGACCCTTGGCCTAGCAAGAGGCAGCCTGTCCTTTGAAACTCCAAAGCCAGGCCCTGTCATGGATGACATCTTCTAAAGGCCTAGATGGCATCTTCCCTTAGTAGAAGGCTGTGTCATCCACTCTGTGAACCTGTTATTTGGAGGCTGCCTTCCATTAGCTTAGGTACATCCTCAGGATGCCCTGCTGTATCAGCACTGTCTGCATCATCTTACACTTTTATAAGACAGAGATGGATTGGGGGGCGGGGGGCGCGCTGAGTTCTGAGAATCCACAGATAGGGCCTCACTCATGTTCTACCATTGAGTTACATCCCTCACTAAGAAAGCTTTTTTTCTTAAACCTCATTAATTGAGGTTTAAGAAATTACAGGTTCATGCCTGTAATTCTGGCTACTCAGGGGGCTGAGATCTGCAGATCATGGTTTGAAGCCAGCCTGGGCAGGAAAATACAAGAGACTCTTATCTCCAATTAACCTGCAAAAAGCAGGATGTGAAGGAGTGAAGACTTTGAAAAGGATTGCTACTCATTCTTCCTTAATGGTTTGAGGGTGTGTGTGTGTGTGTGTGTGTGTGTGTGTGTGTGTGTGTGTGTGTGTGTGTGTGTGTGTGTGTGTGTGTGTGTGTGTGTGTGTGTGTGTGTGTGTGTGTGTGTGTGTGTGTGTGTGTGTGTGTGTGTGTGTGTGTGTGTGTGTGTGTGTGTGTGTGTGTGTGTGTGCTGTCCCTAAGCTTCTTTTGCTCAGTTAATGCTCTACCACTTGAGCCAGAGCTTCTGGCTTTTTGGTGTAGTTTATTGGAGATAAGAGTCTCACAGACTTTTCTGTTCTAGCTAGCTTTGAACCACAATCCTCAGATCACAGAGTCCTGAGTAGCTAGGATTTACAGGTCTTAATGGTTTATAGAACTGATAAGCTATGTGATAGTACTTTTGTTTTTGGTGATAATTTTGATGACTGTTTCAAAGTTTATAAATCAGTATAGATTTTTCTTCCTCATCTTGGATCAGTGTCAATAATAAGATTGTTTCTAGGTATTTTTTCCATTTCTCCTGTTTTTCAATTCATTAGTATATTAATTATCTTTCTGAAACCCCCCCCCCTTTTTTTTTTTTGCTATGGGACTATGAGTAGTGTTCCTACCTACTTTTTTTTCTGCCAGTTCTGGGGATTGAACTCAGGGCCTGGGCATTGTCTCTGAGCTTCTTTTGCTCAAGGCTAGCACTCTACCACTTGAGCCACAGCTCCACTTCTGGCTTTTTCTGTGTGTGTGTGTTACTGAGGAATGGAACCCAGGACCTCATGCATGCTAGGCAAGCATTCTACCACTAAGCCACATTCCCAGTCCTCCCAATTTCATTTTTTGATTTTAGTTATTATAGTTTTTTTTTTTACTCTAAATGGTTTATACATTTTTACTTTTTTTTTCTTCAAGGAATCAACTTTTGGTTTTGTAGATTCTGTTGTTTGTCTGTATTTTATTTAACTCTAGTCTTCATGATTTTCTTCCTACTGCTAGTTTTGTTCTAAGTTCTTTTTTTTGTCATGGAGCTTGAACTCAGGGTCTGTTGGATGCTACCTCTGAGCTTTTTCACTCAAGATTAGTGCTGTACCGCTTTAAGCCACAGCACCACTTCTGGTTTTCTGGTTAATTAGAGATAAGAGTCTCTCAGACTTTCCTGCCTGGGCTGGCTTTGAACCACATTCCTCAGATCTCAGCCTCCTGAGTAGCTAGGATTAGAGGCATGGAACACCAGTGCTTGGGCTTAGTTCTTTTTTTTGTGATTCATAAACTATTAAGTTAGGTTAGTAACTTGAAATCTTTGGTTATGAAGACTTTTCCTTCTGTAACTGATTGCTAGATTCTATACTTTTAGTATGATTTCAGGGCTTTTTATTTTTAAAGTTTGTTATTTGTTTTATATCCTAAAAAACAGCTTATCTTAGATAATGGTCTGTGTGCACTTGGGAAAAATGCATGCACTATTACTGACTAGTGTTCTTTAGATGTCTGTTAGGTCTAATTGGTTTATAGTGCTGCTTATTAATCTTCTATCTGCATGTTACTTCTATTATGTAAAGTAGGGCATTGAAATCATCCTTTATTGTGGAGCAGTCTGTTTCCCGCCTCACATCTGCCAGTATGTGCTTCATATGTTTGGGAACTCTGTTGTTAGGTGTGCATATGCTATAATTGTTGTATATTCTTTCTACATTGACTCTTTTGTTCTTCTGTAATGGCTGTTGTTTCTTGTTATGGATTTTGACTTGTAGTCAATTTTGTCTGATATTCATCCCTGAATCTTCTTAGTTACTTTTGGATGAAAAGTCTCTTCACGCTTTCATTTTCAATACTTTTGCTCTTCCCATTCTAAATGAGCTTTAGGATACAGCAAATTGTTGGCTTGTTTATTTTATCCATGCTACCCTGTCTTATAGTGGTGAGTTTAATTTGGTTAGCTTTGAAGTGATTCTTGAAGGAAGGACTTAAGCCATTTTAACTGTTTGTTTACTACCTTATTTATATGTATATATCTATACATACTTATACTACATGTACATAAAATACATATACTACATGTATTTTACTTATGTATTTATTCCTCCCACACAGTTTTTTATATTTTTTTCTAGTTGTATTTTTTTCTACTATTGTCATGTCTTCATTTTCTTTTCCATTCATATATTTCTTAAATTATTTTCTTTTTTTTTTGGGGGGGGGGGTCCGGTCGTGGGGCTTGAACTCTGGGCCTGGGCGCTGTCCCTCAGCTCTTCAGCTCAAGGCTAGCACTCTATCACTTGAGCCACAGCGCCACTTCCGGCTTTTTTTTCTTTTTGCTTATGTGGTGCTGAGGAATCAAACCCAGGGCCTCAGGCTTGCAAGGCAAGCGCTCTACCACTGAGCCACCTTCCCAGCCCCTTAAATTATTTTCTTAACCGTCACTGAGGGACACACTTAATATTCATAAGTTAGCTGGGTGCTAAGATTATTACGCTTGTAATCTTAGCTATCTCAGGAGGCTGAGATCTGAGGATCACAGTTCAAAGCCAGCCCAGACAGAAAAATCCATAAGACTCTTATCTCCAATAAACTATTCAGAAAAACATAGAAGTGGTGCTGTGGCTCAAGTGGTAGAATGCTAGCCTTGAGCACAAAGGGGCTCAGAGACAGCACCTGGGCCCTGAGTTCAAGCCCCAGCATGGGCAAAACAACAGCAACAACAAAATAAAAATAAAAAACCCCAAAACCTAAGTTAACAATATGACTTCAGTAACATTAAGAAATTGTTCCTGAACAGCTCTTATCCTCATTTGTCATCACAAATTGCATCTTTATTTGTTGAATGCCTACTACTATAGATTTAAGATGATTGTTTTGTGCATTTGTCTTTTTGTATAGGAAATACAATGAACAGTTGCAAATCAGAGCTGCTGTACTACATTTGCCTCTTACATTTGCCTGTGTAATTGCCTTTCCTGGAGTTCTTATTTCTTCATATGGCTTCAAGTTACTAATTAATCTTCCATTTCAGCATGAAGGACTCCTTTTTAGAAATTCTTTGAAGGCAGGTGCATGAGTACTGCATGTTCTCAGCTTTTGTTTGTCTGAGGATACCCTTATTTCCACCCCCCCTCCTTTTTTTTTTTTGTCAGTTGTGAGGCTTGAACTCTGGTCCTGGGCACTGTCCCTGAGTTCTTTTAGCTCAAGGTGACTGCTCTACCACTTGAGCCACAGCGCCACTTTCAGTTTTCTGATGGTTAATTGAAGATATGAGTCTCACAGACTTTCCTGCCTGGTCTGGCTTTGAACTGCGATCCTCAGATCTCAGCTAGGATTACAGGCATGAGCCACCAATGCCCAGACCTTCTACCTCATTTTTGAAGAATAGTTTTTACAGGTTATAGAATTTCATTATTACCTTGTTGGGTTGTTCTCATCTCTTTGAAGATGCTGTTCTACTGCCTTCTGGTCTGAAGCCTAGCTGGGTGGTTTTGACTCAGAGGCCTTCACTTGTGTGCAGTCAAAAAATTGCCTGGGTCTGGAGCTAAATAGTTTACTTCCAGGCTAGTCATATGGATGGAAGCAGGCCTAGAGTCCTTGCTTGCTGGCTGTAGGCAAGGGGCTTAGTTCCTTACCACTTGAGTCTCTCATAGTGCTGCTAAAAATGAAGCACATGGCTTTTCTCAGAAAGAGACCCATGTGAGAAAGGCTACTCCCCTGCTGTTGAAGGATCATTTTATTTTTATTTGTTGGGATTTAGAGCCCTCAGATAGGGAGATGGGCTGATAGGTCCTTTTCTAGGGCCTTGCTACCAAGTGCTTCCTCCGCGTTAGGCTGCTGCTGCCCACAGCCGTGGGACAGAACAGCAGACTCTTAGGATCGACCTTCTTGGTGCTCTGTCCTGCAGTCAGTGAGACATGAAAATAAGCTTTCTGAGTATTCAGAGCCTTTAAAAATGTCACTGTGAACTGCCCTCTCATTAGAGGCTTATTTCGTGGAGAAACTGTGTTCTTTTTACTTAAGTTAAAAACTTGCAAAGGGAGCAGGAGGATAGAGCAGGAGAGTGGAAAGAGAAATGTGAACACTTTTCCTGATAGATCCTATACGTCACTCAAGATCAGTAGCTCCTTACTGAATATCTGCACGCATGAGATACTAGAGACAAAAGATGCTAGAGACAAAAGAGCAAAACAGAACAAGGGTACATGAGACCGTCCCCAAGTGGGTTATAGTGTAGAGGGAGGGGGGGAAGGCAACATGCATGCCCCAGAGCTGTGGTCGCTAACAGTCCTCACTGTGTCCTAGTGTATAAGATGGAAAGCAGAGGGGGACAATGGAAGTGACTCAGAAGAGAGTGAAGGTTTTGTCATTCTGTTCGTTTTTCAGGTCTAATAAAACATTTCACAGCATCAGGATTCTTGAGGACTTTTGGTGCCCACTTAGTAGTTGAGTCTCATACTTGACTCTGCCCATCAACAATAAGATAACCTCTTTTTAATTACTTAGGTTAGCATATGAAAAGGCTATCCACAAAATTTTCCATTTGAAAAACTGCACAATTAGATTTGTATTTATAGCTGTATATCCTTGGTTTTAAAGTCATTTCGGTATTTATAGAACTTCATAAAAATGAACTAGGCATTGGATCCTGGCTGGCCACCATTTGTGTACTGCAGCTAGTGTGTTATATGTATAAGCAGGTGCTTCTCGAAGGGGTTGGAATGAATCAGAACTTTAGCCTCTCGTAAGACAGCAGTCCAATCTCTCCTCTCACAGTATAGGAGATTTTAAGTATCCCAAGTAGGAGTAAATCTCCAGCCCCTCTACATTGTGACTGGAGTTAATTTGAAGCATAGCATGTCTTTTACATTGTCTGGCTATTAAGCATGCCATTGATTAGAGCTTGGCCTATGTAATGATGTGTGCTTGCTTCTGGGAAACTACCCTGTACCCTACCGTGTACAGAAATGAGCAGTGTGTACAAAATTGTACTGTGGATTTCTTTTTCTATAATTTAGAGATTGTTGTCATGTTTAGGTTCCTCTTTAACTCCGGTTATGCCATTTGATATCTCCAGCAGGGGCTTTACACTTCACTCCCCCTCCCCCCCCCCCCCGAAAAATGCATGATACAAACTCCTTTTTCATGCTTCCTCATTTGAGTATGTTCCTTTCTTTCTTCGTGATCATACTTCAACCACCGTTTGCTTTCACTCTTTTAATAAAAAGTGAGTTCTGAATTTTCATTTAATTTTTCTCTCCTAGACAGTTAAATCTCACACCGAAACAGACGAGAAGCAAACAGAGAGCCGCACCATCACCCCACCTGCTGCACCCAAACCAAAACGGGAAGAGAACCCTCAGGTAGGCCCAGCTCTCCAAAGGCCTGTGATGTGGGTTTATTCTTACACAAGAGGCAGGATATCTGCTTTTGTTTTATCTTTATTTTATTTCATATTTTTAGATGTACTGCAGATTGCACTCAGGGCTGCAAGCTCACTAGGCAAACATTGCCACTTGCACCACTCCCCTAGTTCTTTTGTTTATAGTTTGTTTTTTGGATAGGGCCTTGTGTTTTTGCTTAGGACTAGCCTTGGACCATGGTCCTCTGACTTCAGCCTCCCCAATATCTGGGATTATAGACATGTACCACCACATTCTGGAAGACATCTGCTTTCTGAATCACTTGACGTTCTTTTTCTTTTGCTATTTTCACTGTTAGTGGGCCAGGTGCAGCAGCTCACTCCTGTAATCCTAGCTACTCAACTGGGGATGGGGAATATTTCAGTTTCAAAGCCATCTCAGGCAAGAAGCTTGTGGAACCCCTATCTCAACAAATAGCTGTGCATAGTGGTGTGAACTCGTTCATCCCACTTAATGGGAAGTGTAAGTAGGAAGATTGCACTCTAGGCTGGCTAGACAAAAGTTCAAGACTCACTATATAACCCAAAATAACACAAAGCAAAGAGGGCTAGAAGCATGGTTCAAGTGATAGAGTATCTGTCTAACAATTTCGAGGTCCCAACTTCAGCTTCCAATACCACCAAACAAGCAAAAAACAAACAAACATACAAAAACCAACCTAAAACTTGAATGGATTTAAGTGTGCAGTCCTGAGGGCTGGTGACTGGCACATTATTACCACTTTGGTGTTTCAAAGGAAAAGTTTTGAAATGACATTCATGTACATCTTACACATTTGAAATGTAAGATTAATGATAATTTTCCCAGGTATTCTGTTACATTCCTAATGATTAGAATGTTCTGTTTGTCTCAGACATTTGTAAGATGTCTAATTCGCTCAGCTAACCTGTTTGCATATTGATTGCACTTGTTAAATGTACAGTTCTTTTTTTTCTTTTTCTCTTTTTTTTTTTTTTGCTGGTCCTGGGCTTGAACTCTGGGCCTAGGTGCTGTCCTTGAGCTTTTTTTTTTTTTTTTGCTCGAGGTTAGCACTATACCACTTGAGCCACAGCACAACTTCCAGCTTTTTCTGTGTCTAATTGGGAGATCAGAGTCTCATGGACTTACTTACCTGGGCTGCCTTCGAACTGTGATCCTCAGATCTTAGCCTCCTGAGTAATTAGCTAGGATTACAGGTATGAGCCACCAGTGCCCAGCAAATATACAGTTGTGTTATTACCATTTTATTGCATTAGAACCCCAAATGCAAATTGAATTAGTAGCTCAAAAGTAGGTCATTGAAGCAGAAAAGGGGAGATGAAAATGCTGACATCTAAATTACAATTTAGTTTAAGATTACAAGCATAAATAGAAACTACACTGGTACAAATAAAGAATATGACTCTTATCTGTATGTCTGTAGACAAGAAAACAGTTTAGTGTGATGCTTTTGTACAAGCACCTATAAAATAAAAATGTGGACAGGTAATATAATGATGAATATCTGATAGCTGGATTTTATTAGGCCAGTAATCTATTTCCCTTTATCTTCTATGCATTCTTTGTAATGAAACCATGTCAAATAATGGCATGAAGCCATCAGAGCATCATATCAATATTTTTTATAAAGAAACAATGATGTATTGAACCAGTTGAGGTTTTCCTAAATGTGCCAAATATTATTTTTTCTGATATGCAATGAATGAATTTTTAATTTTACCTTTAAAGAACAGACCAAAACTTAAACCTAAAATAAGTATTAGTTCTAGAAAATCTGAGAAACTTGTAAAACTATCCACAAAATTAATGACAAATACTACACCAGGTAGAGGAAAATAAAACAAATTATTAACAAAATTTCCTTACTGAAAGAAACTGAAAGGTATCTCATGTCAGTATCAGATGGTGGGTGTGGGAAGTGGGGGGCAGCCATTGTAGCTGAACGGAACTACTGGCATGTCAAGAATGAATTCGCTCTTGGCATATGTATGATACGTGTAAGGTAAAACCTCTTGACAACTTTTTATTTTGTCTGCCACTGAAAATCTGTTTCATAAGAGATTTTTTTTTCTATTTAATAATTACTTTGTGGGCTTGATGTAGACTGGCAAAGACAAGCTGGATGGATATAAGTGCCCAAGAAAAATGCTGTTTCTTGATTAAAAGAGGCCATATTCTGAATGTCAAGCCACACTTTATAGACAGAGAACATTGGTGGACAGCCTTCTGTCTTGATTATACTTTGAAGCAATAGTGAAAGTGATGAATGTGGTTAATTGGCAACCACAAAATAGTCATGTCAATGTTCACTATTAGGAAGTGAGTAGTGGATAAGTCCCAGACTTAAATTTTTCCAGTATATTATTCCTGTAAAGAGGACAGTTACCCAGCCAGGTGCTGGAGGATCATACTTGTAATCGTAGCTACTCAGGAGGTTTAAAGCCATTCTGAGGAGGAAAAAAAAAAACAAAACAAAAACACCTTCCATATCCAATTAACAAGCAAAATTCTGGCCTGGTGGCATGGTTTAAGTGATGGAGCACCAGCTCTAAGCAAGAAAGCCAAGTGGCTGTGGGAGGTCCTGAGCTCAAACCCTAGTACTGACAGGAAAAGGAATGGGACAGTTGTTTAATTACATTTTGCCAATTTTTTTTTTTCCTGGGCTGAGTATTGAACAAAGGACCTTATGCATGCCAGTGCTTGGATTTTTATAAGAAAAAAATGAAAACCGTGTTTAGAACTCTGAAGATGAACTGGATGCCTGAGCTCACATGTTCTACCCAGATGACTAAAATCAAGAGGATCTCAGTTTACAGCCAGCGCAGACAAAAAGCTCACAAGACCCCTGCTAACCCAGCCCTGGGTGCATGGCATGTGCCCATCATCCCAGCTAGTAGAAAACTAAGATTTGGGAATTTTATTTGAGGCTAGCCTTGGGCAGAAAAAGTCCACAAGACTCCATTTAAACAGAAGAAGCGCGATGTGATGGCACCAGCTATTACCCTCGTCCTTGGGAAACTGAAGTTAGGCCGCAAGTTCTAAGCCAGCCTGGGCTATCTGTAATAAGATCTTTCTCAAAAAAAGTGATTTTTTTTTTTTTTTCTGTCAGTCATGGGCTTGAACTCTGGGTCTGAGCACTGTCCCTGAGCTCTTCAGCTCAAGGCCAGCACTCAACCACTTGAGCTACAGTGCCACTTCTGGTTTTCTGGTGGTTCATTGGAAGTAAGAGTCTCACAGACTTTCATGCCCGGGCTGGCTTTGAACCATGATCCTCAGATCTCAGCCTCTAAGTAGCTAGGATTACAGATATGAACCACCGACACCCAGCTTTAAAAAAAAAAAAAAAGTGATTTTTAAAGACCAAAATGTAGTACTAATGACTACTAACTCTTACCAATTTTGATGATATTGTTTATTCATTAGAAATGTGATGTATTATTTGGTATATTTAGAAACCATGTGCAAATGAAGGCATCAAACAAAGAAAGCAAAGAATAGAAATCAAGGCATTGCCCTGTCCAGCTTAAAGTATCTTAACATTCCATATCTGGGGTGCAGTATTGTAATTATCCTTGCTTTAGATGAGGCCCTCAGAGTGGGCTTAGGAGAAATTACTTCATAATATTAGGTCCATGTTTGATTCTAAAACATAGTATTATGCAGAACTACTTGCTGTCATTCCAAAAATTCATTTGTTTTCAGTTTCATTGTCTGGTCAGTGGCAGTAACCAGGTAAGAATTCTCATGATAAGAGAAGGGTTTAGAATTTGGGGCTTATTGCAAGAAAGACATTTGAAATCCTCCTCTTCCTCCTCCCCCTTCCCCTCCTCCTCCTCCTCCCCCTCCTCCTCCCCCTCTCTTCCCCCTCCTCCTCCTCCTCCTCCTCCTCCTCCCTCTCCTCCTCCTCCTCCTCCTCCTCCTCCTCCTCCTCCACCCCCCCTCCTCCTTCTTCCTTTTTGTTCAGTCATGGGGCTTGAACTCTGGGCCTGGGTGCTATCCCTGAGCTCTTCAGCTCAAGGCAAGCACCTTACCACTTGAGCCACAGCGCCACTTCCAGTTTTTTGGTGGTTAATGGGAGATAAGAGTCTCACAGACTTTCCTGCCTGGGCTGGCTTTGAACTGTGATCCTCAGATCTCAGTCTCCTGAGTAGCTAGGATTACAGGCCTGATCTACCGGCACCTGGCTTTTTTTTTTTTTTTATAAGTATGAAACCATATCTTTAAGATTTTTCTGAGGAGAAGAATAAGTCACTCAACATGATTTTTTGTGTGTGTGTGCCAGTCCTGGGACTTGAACTTAGAGCCTAGGTATTATCCCTGAGCTTTTTTGCTAAGTCTACTGCTTTACCACTTAAGCCACAGCTCCACTTCTGGCATTTTGGTGGTTAATTGAAGATATGAGTCTTAAGGATTTTCCTGCCCAGGCTGGCTTCAAACTGTGATTCTCATATCTCAGCCTCCTGAGTAGCTAAGATTACAGACATGATCGGCACCCAGCTCAAGATGATTTTTGACATTGAAAAACTGGAAGCTGCAGATTTCATTCATTCTCTTTGGCATCAAGTGGCCCAGAGTGCTCAGAGCGGATGCCACCTGCTCTTGCTTCCTCAGAACTTAGCCTCTGTCAAGCAGTCAGACTACGAGGCAAGCTTTACCAAGTATATAACCAGCAACCTGTGGTGGGCTTTGTGAGAACACAGACTGAAGTACTTCTTTTGTTTCCCTGGCACAGAAACTTGCCTTCATGGTGTCTCTAGGGCTGGTAACGCATGACCATCTAGAAGGTAAGAGAAGATATTCTTGGCACTACCTTCTTTCTGGTCCATGGCTTTGTTCCTGAAAGTGGTGTTAGATTGAATTCCTAGAATAGAACATTGGAACACAAATAGAGTGTGATTCAACTGGTATGGACTTTATTCCTTTAGAGGAAAAACTGCCTTCCCTCTGTGTAATGCTCAAGCCCTCTCCTTCCTAGCTTCAGTCACGCTCCTTTACTTGGAAAACCTCCCCAGCTGTCTGAAATAAAATGACTCCTGTTTACCGTAGAAGTCTCATTCACTGTCAACTTTAAGTAGCAAGTGCTCCTCTGAAAAATACTCATCTTATTTTCTAGACACTGAGTTACAGGAATCTTAAGTTAGAAAGCTATGCCTATTCTTGTTATTTATTTCAAAAATGGTAAACTTTGGTTAGCAGTCTAAGGAGAAAGTTCATCCAGACCTCTGTACACAGCAGTCAAAAAACAAGTCAGATGTGGTTGGCTTCGAAGTGCTCTGAGAAATGCAGGCCTCCTTTCCAAGAGGTGACAGAAGGTGGTCCTATAGATTTTTCTCCAGACTTTGCCCAGTTCCTGATTTGTTAGAGGAAAACCAATACATAAAACATGAAGTTCAGATATTTGGTTCTCCACAACCATCTTCTGATCCAAGCCTTTTCTCTTCCCAAGAAATCCAAAGCAAGAGGCAAGAGCGAAAAAGAAGAACAACAGCAAATCCAGTCTACAGTGGAGCAGTCTTTGAGCCAGAGGTACTCCTGGCCAGCACCTGCCCTGTCCCTCATGGTGGCCTTTTACTTTCTCAATCCCTCCCATCCAAAAGCCTGCTGAGGCAACACCTCCTTGTACTTGGGCAGCCCTGAAATGTTGGAACTTGATCTGGTCATTCTTGTATTTTTATCATTTACTGCTTGAACCTTAGGAAAAAACACTTAGGTTTTCTCCCCAAAGTTTGAGCAGAGACCATAAATTTGTATTTCTCCTAACTTCCCCATACTGTCAATCCGAAGCAGAGACAATCTCTCAGTATATATTCTCTGAGTGTCAAATATATGTAATAAACCCTATTAGCTCTGAGACCTTGACATGCTTAGCCCTAGTTAGTTGGCATGAGTCAGGTATATTGTGCCAGTGTTAGTGATAATCCTGATGTTCAACCAGTCCCCTTTCCTTCTTCAACCCTCAAAGCGTAAGAAGAGCGCAGTCACATACCTAAACAGCACAATGCATCCTGGGACCCGGAAGAGAGGTGAGTGTCTTTTACTTTCTTTTTTTGTTTGATTATTTTTGTGTTTTTGTTGTTGTTGTTTGGTTTTTTTTAATCTCTGCCTTGCTATTGCTTTTGTGTTGGGTTCCTTTCCTCCCCCTCCTCCCATCACACTAGGATCTACCTTCTCTATCTTTTGAAAATAGTTTTGTTGTAGCTCTATGGAAATAGGGAATTGTGAGAGAGAGAGAGGGAAGGAGAGAGAGAGAAAGAAAGAGAGAATGAAGGAGAGAGAGAGAAAGAATGAGAGAGAGAGAGAGAGAGAGTTTTCTTACTAAGGCTGTGAATGACGAATCAAAAGCTGGTTTTCCTGGTTCCTGGCCGAGCTGGTTCAGGGAGATGGCTTAGCCCAGCATTTCAGCCCCAAACCCACCAGGCCATCCAGGATAGTTCAGTGAGCAGATCGCTGGCTGGAAGGAAGGGTTTAGCATCATGTAGCAGCAGACGGACCACTGCTTTGCCAAGGTGTTCCTCATAGTGTCTCAGCCAGTGAGGCTAAAACATGACCAGGTTTCTGTGAGCTGCACATTTTCCAGGAAGAAGAGAACTTAAGATCTATGATAAGAGCACAATACCAGCTAAGGCAGAATAGGGCTCAGTCAAAACGGCTCCCCAAAGCAGGAACTCCTACTGCTGAAGAGCTCTGCTCCCATCTTCCAGACCTTCCTGGGCATTCCACCTTAATCTTAGGGCAGAAAAAAACTGGGGTAGTATCTCTCACTGTGCAAGTCTAAGTTGGTCTTAATGGGATTTGAGCTCATAAACAAGGTATTGAAATGGTTCCTTGATGTCAAAAACACATCCCAAGGTCTGTTTTTCCATGTGATAATGTGTGCCTGAATTATAGGTCCAGGCTAGAAAGGTTGCTGAGTAAGTGGCCTAATGTGTGTATGCACATCCAATCCCAGCGCTATTAGAAGTGTAGGAGGTCACCCTGACAATTCTGTCTGCTTTAGACAGGACTATGACTGCCCCTGCCCCTCCCAAAAGAGATAACCTAGCCATCTTAGTGACCCATTCTAATGTTTCATCCGTTCTAGCCTTCAAGTAGCCAAAACAATTTAGACAGTAAACTCTAAGTTACTGCTTTACTTTGATTCCTGGACCACAATAAACAGTGCTATAAATTATTTTTGTTGTTTTGAGCTCAGATGTTTTTTAGAGGCCGCTGGGGCAGTTCTCAGATAGGAAGCCCTTGGCCAGAGGCCACAAATAATTGGCCTTCTAGTGGGCAGTATCTGCTCAGACATGGTTATATGAGCCAGAAAGACCTTGGTATCTCTCACCAAGGTCGAAGCTAAAAGCTTGCATCTACGATGCCTAGGATATACCTCCTTTAGCTAAATGAAGAGCACTGGGCTTTATCCCACCCCACCCCACCCCAGCACTGAACTCCCTACAAAAGACAAACCTGCCAGGCGCCAGTAGCTCACGCCTGTAATCCTAGCTACCCAGGAGGCTGATCTGAACATTGCGTTTCAAAGTCAGCCTGGGCAGGGAAGTCCATGAGACTCATCTCCAATAAACCACTCAGAAAACCGGAAGTGGCATGTGGCTCAAGTGGTAGAGCACTAGCCTTGAGCTGAAGAGCTGAGGGACAGTGTCCAGGCCCAGAGTTCAAGCCCCACAACCAATAAAAAAAAAAAAAGACAAACCAATAAGACCTACCTTTGTACTACAGACAGTGCCAGTTTAACACAGGCAATATTCCTGTCCTGACAAAATCATGACTCATGCGCATGATCCTAATATTGCCTATAACCATTGACAAAGTCATGATTCCCATACACCATTCACCAAGGCTTGTAGGCAGCTTGCGATCTCTCTGCTCGCCCCTCACCCTTGTGCACTGGGCTTGTACTTACAATCACTCACAATTTAGAAACTGTGACCCTGACTCTTAGAAGACCAGAACCCCAGCTTGGCACCGATGGCTCATGCTGGTAATCCTAGCTACTCAGGGAGGCTGAGATCTGAGGATCATGGTTCAAAGCCCACCAGGCAGGAAAGTCTATGAGACTCTTATTTCCAATTAACTACCAGAAAGCCGGAAGTGGTGTAGTGGCTAAAGTGGTAGGGTGCTAGCCTTGATCTGAAGAGCTCAGGTACAGCACCCAGGCCGAGTTCAAGCCTGACAAAAAAAAAAAAAAGGCCAGGACCCTGTCTAAGATGTGTGGTAAAAGTGGCTTCCCTAGATTTTCTGGACTTCTGGGGCTCATTTATAGATTGCTTGTAGATGAGGTTTGATTGAAAGTGTTTTGTCTCAGTCAGGCCTCTCAGTCAAGAAGGCTCATGACAGGGCCTTTGCTGAGACTTTAGGACAGCCCAGTTCTCAATCATGTTGTTTACTAGGATGTTCATGTCTCAGAGCAGAGAGATAGCTCTCAAACCATTGGAAATAGTATCGAAGCTAGAAATGCTTAAATTCATTGTTTAGCCCGGAACCCCCCCCCCCCCCATTAGTCTTACATTCTAGTACTGCAGAGCCTCTCTCTCAATGCCTGTAATAACAAGGGATGAGAATAACTAACTTGAGTTTTGCCTCCTCACTTTGCCTTCTTCTACACTAACCAGCAGTTAGAAGGACCAGAATGCAGACAGGAGAGAAATAGAAAAACAGAAATGCTCAATGTACTCATTTGTAGAAAACTGAGATTCTCAATATTATTGTAGGAATGATTATTGCAGAGTAAACAATAAACAAAAGGCATGGACAAAATAAATTATGTCTGGTTTTGGCTCCCATTTGGGCTTTGACATCTTGATTCTTCCACTAGAAACCTCAAGTCATAATAGTCCAGGAACAGTAGCACAGTCTGCCCATAGTGAGGTCCTTGTACATCAGCCTGCATGTTCTGTCCCTCTCTGAGGCTCTCTTCTCCTCCTTCTTTTGGGACTCGTGTAGTTGTTTCTAATGACATTTAAATCTTTGCTCTGTTCCTCCCTTTGGGACTGTGTATTAACTTTCTGTCTGCTACCTCACTTCCTTTTCCATGCTAGCCAATGAGGAACACTGGCCAAAGGTATGTAAGATCGTTTTCCCCTTTTCTTTCCCTCCCCTTTTTTCCCTTTTGTTCCCTTTTCTTGGTATATAGGTCGTCCTCCAAAATACAATGCAGTGCTGGGGTTTGGAGCCCTTACCCCAACATCCCCCCCATCCAGTCATCCCGACTCCCCTGAAAATGAAAAGACAGAGGCCACATTCACTTTCCCTGCACCTGTGCAGCCTGTGTCCCTGCCCAGCCCCACCTCCACAGACGTAAGTAACTGGGGGAAGCCGCTCTCTTTTCTGAGAGCTCGCATTGGGAAAACCGTTGTCCTATGTTGTCTCCCTGCCAGCCTGCACCTTCTTGACTAGAACTAGAACAGCAGCTAGCCCCACATGCCACACCACAGAGCCTTCTCCTGGGAGAAGGACTGCCATGTCCGGAAGAGTCATGTCACTGTAACTCCCAGAGCCCAGGGTTGTCCGTGCCTGAGTCTGATTTGCTGTAGATGAGTTCTGAGAAGAGACAGAGTGGGAAAGCACCTCACGAGATTGAGAGGTGTCTCTAATCAGTGTGTTGAGGTCGGGGACATGAACATAGCATGTTCCCCTAGCAGCCCTTGTTTGTTGCTTTACGTACAATCCCAGAACTGCAAAATGTTCTGTAGAGCAACTTTATTTAGCAGAGTTAATCAAAAACAGCTTCCTAAAAGTGTCAGATGCTTACTAGTTCTCTACCCAGAACGTGTAAGCATGTGAACTCATTCTCTGATCTGTTAAATGAGCATTTACAAGGCATTCAGTTCACTCAGCAGATATTTATTGAGTGCTATTCTGCCAGAATGGTTATTGAGACTAGAGACGCAGGAAGGAGCAAAACCAATCCCTAGCCTTCAAGAACCTCATATTCTGTGGATATGTAATCTGCCAAGCAGTGATTATATTGCTTGTTCACTGTGAAAACAATTGGAACAGATAAGGCATAAAAATATGAGGTTGCTTAGAGGCTGAGATCTGAGGATCACTGTTTAAAGCCAACCCAGGCAGAAAAGCCCCTAAGATTCTTTTTTTTTTTTTTTTTGCTGGTCGAGGAGCTTGAACTCTCGGCCTGGGCACTGTTCTGAGCTTTTCAGCTCAAGGCTAGCACTCTACCACTTGAGCCATAGCACCCACTTCCAGCTTTTTCTGTGTATGTGGTGCTGAGGAATCGAACCCAGGGCCTCATGCATGCAAGGCAAGCACTCTACCACTGAGCCACCTTCCCAGCCCCGCCCCTAAGATTCTTATCTCCAATTAGCCACCAAAAAGCCAGAAGTGGACCTGTGGCTCAAGTGGTAGATGCCAGCCTTGAGCAAAAAAAGCTGAGTGAGAGCATGAAGTCCTGAGTTCAAGCCCCAGTACTGACAAATACATATCAAAGGACAGGAGCTTGCTGTCTTTGAAGGAAGGAACAGCGGTGCAGAAACCCCAATGTGGGTGTGGGTGTGGAATGGTGAAAGAATAGCACAAAGGCCAGGATAGTAGCAAAGCAAGTGGACCAGAGCAGTGGGAGGTAAGATTTCAGAGGTGCTAGGGCTGCTTATACAGGGCTTGTAGCTTTTATTCCAAACAAAATGGGAGACCACCAAAGGGTTTAGTAAAGGTATAACCTAAAGTTTCATTTACGCCCTCCCCCACCAAAAAAATGTATTTTATTTTGATTTTTTTAATCTACAGAAAAATAGTAATAATGGTGTATAATGAACAAATATATACCCTTTACCTAGCTTTGCCATATTTACTTCTCACCTACACACACACACACACACACACACTTACTTTTTGTGATGGGCTAGTAAAGAAGTTGTACACTTTATGAATCTTTACCCCAAAACATTTGTGAGAATGTAAGAATAAAAATATTCTGTTATTTTGCCACTATGTATTTATCAAATAGAGGGTATTTAACATTGACAGGATCTTAGAATATTATATCCAATACAGATTTAGATTCTCCATTTGTCTACCATTGCCTCCGTGCCATGTGTTTTCCTGCTGCAGATGCAGTCCACTCACTGTAATAGTATTATCTATTAGACTCCTAGATTCTGAAACAGTCTTCTTGTCTTTCACCACATTGGCACTTTTCAAGATTGGCTAGTTGCTCTGTAGAGTGCTTCTCCATGTGGACTATGACTCTCCACAGAGAACAGTCTCAAGCACATGTTTTTGGGAGCACTGCACAGTGATGATGGGCCTTCTCAGCACATCCCGACAGGAGGCACACACTGTCAGTCTTCTGTTGTTGGTGATACTAACTTTCTCCCTTGAGATCATTGCCATCAAGTTGTTTTCACCCTTAAAGGTCTAAGTTCCCTATGGATGGAACAGCTTTGAGTCTGGATAGAGAGTTAAACACTAGTTTCACTCCAGACTTTGATGTGATTTTCCCTCCTTTGATGATTCTTGTCTACATGACAATTTTAAGGTGTTTGTGGAACCAAACTTGATTTTGAAAGGAGCACTGTGTCTGAAATGTGGGCAGAAGGCCTACAAGGATGGGGGAATGGGAACAGAGAGGCCAGTTAGTAGGCTACTGCAAGTGTCCATACCTAATGAGGTTGAGATGGAGAAAAGCAATCAGGTCCACATATAACTGGAAGGCCAGCAGATCTTAATATGGGGCGTGAGATAAACAGTCCTGAATAAATCCAAAGTTTATGGCCTAAACTACTAAAAGTACTAAAACCACTTACTAGCCAAATACCAGTGACCCATACCTGTAATCCTACTCAGGAGGCTGAGATCTGAGGGTCACAGTTCAAAGCCAGCCCAGGCAGGAAAGTCTATGAGACTCTCATCACCAATTAGCCACCAAAAAGCTAGAATTAGAGCTGTGGCTCAAGTGGTAGAGCACTAGCCTTGAGCAAAAAAGCTAAGGGATAGTGCCCAGGCTCTGAGTTCAAACCTCCAGCCCCAGCACACGCGCGCGCGCGCGCGCGCACACACACACACACACACACACACACACACACAGAGTTGCCACTTATGAGAGGAACAAGTCTGAGAAGAGAAACAAAGGATTTCATTTGGCACATGTCCCAGTTCTTCTGTGAATTACAAAGGCTGTTGTTAACCTTCAGGGAAAAGCCTCCTCGAATTTGAAAGTTTTCATTGCTAGTAGTTCTCTAAGAGAGCACCATCATGTGAATGTTCTGAGTTAACATTCCAGAGGCAGCAAAGAAAGTGTTACCTTTGGAGACTTGGTCATAGGAGGTTCTCTTCTTTGTACATAGATGGTAGCCACCAACTCATCCTGGCTCTAAAGGTTGAGCATTCCATCCAACTTTCCTGTCTCGCCATTAGTCATGTTTGTGATACAGGTTTTCTGAACACCCAGTTAATGAGTACCAGAAGTCCTTTTCAAAAACCTTGTTTTCCGACCCTTAACTGTGTCATCTTTCCCCAGTCTGAGTATTGCTTAGACTGGTCTCCAGCTCATTGGCATCTTTGTAGAGCTCTCCATGAGTCATGTACAAGGGCTAGGTTGGGTCAGACAGGTGACTATGTAATTCTGCCTTCGAGTCTCTCTTAAACTCTGTCGCTTTAGTGTGTGTTTTCTGCTGGAGAGGATCTGAGCTTTTCTTTAGAAATTAGACCTAAAAAGGATCCACTCAGACCAAATCACAAAATAAAAGTTTCTGCCAGGTTTCATCTTAAAATACAAACCTTTTGGAAACAGGTTCAGAACTTCCTAAGTTAAGCCCAGTTGAATAGATTATTTTTTTTTAAGATAATTGACTTCTACTTCTGCAGTATCCTAACAGCCGCAGTGATTAAAATCAAAACACAAGAGTTCTGTATGTTTGCTGCCGGGTAGCATAAGCCTCAACAACATTAATTAAACAATAACAGTGGAAAGCCAAGCATTTCCTGGGGATCAATAACCATCTCTCAGGACTTGGTAATACAAGACCTAGCCAGACACAAATCCTCAGGATGTACCTTGTTGCTGCTCTCATCATTTTTATGAGAAGGGAAGCTCTGTTGACATAATTATAAAAATTTTTAGCACGCAATGAAGTTGCCGTTGACAGAGCCAGCATGGGTCCTGAAAGTACATCCTCACTTCCTAGCAAGGAACCTTGGGCCCAGCCTCTAGCTTACCATTTCATTATGATAATAATTTGATCTGTCATCAAAGCTTAGCCTTTTGACCTGGATAGAGCCTTCACAAGACTTCCTTCACTCTCTTTAGAATGTACTGTATAGGGATGAAATGGTTTGGCATTTTATATTCATTTTGATTGGGCATCAGTTCTTAAAATGTGGTCCCTGAGAATCTTTCAGGGGGCTATAAAATCAAAATTATTGTCTTTATTATTGTTTCAAAATGTCATTTGCCATTTCCAAGCTGAATCTCTCAGTATAGGCTAGTGGAGTTTTCCAGATAGTACATTATGTATGTTTTAACAGCTAATGGAATATGAATTGATGTATTCTTTGGTTTTAAATTGTTAATAGTATACTATTTCTGCAACTTTCTATGATTCTGTAGTTGTTTCAGAGGTTAGCTGATGGCTCACACTTGTAATCCTAGCTACTCAGGAGGCTGAGATTTGAGGATTGCAGTTCAAAGCCAGCCTGGGCAGAAAAGTCTGTGAGAGTGTTATCTCCAATAAACTACTCAGAAAAAAGCCAGAAGTGGTGCTCTGGCTCAAGAGATAGAGCCCTATCCTTGAACAAAAGAAGCACAAGGACAGAGTCCAGGCCCAAGCCCCAGGACCGGGGGGGAAAAAAGTTTTAAAAATTACAGTAAAGCCAGGTGCCGGTGGCTCAGGAGGCTGAGATCTGAGGATCACGGTTCAAAGCCAGCCCAGACAGGAAAGTCCTTGAGACTCCTATCTCCAGATAACCACCAGAAAACCAGAAGTGGCACTGTGGCTTAAGTGGTAGAGTGCTCTCCTTGAGCTGAAGAGCTGTGGGACGGCATTCAGGCCCAGAGTTCAAACCCCATGACCACCAACAACAACAAAAAAGAATCCTGACAGGAGCTGTGTTTATGTAAACAGGACAAGGAACTTTCAAATGTCCTATAGAAACTCTTCTCTGCTCTCTGCCTCTTCTTCTTGCTGTTCTTCTCATCAAGGGCAAAAGCACATGAACGCCCCACCCCAAGCAGTGCTCAGCATGGGACACACGCACCTCCCTCACTTCACTTCTCAGAGCCTTAAAGCCTTGCATCATGTATAAACTTGGGGCTTAGGTTCTAGTCCTCCAGAGGAGAAAAACTCCTCTCAACCTAATTTTAGAATAGAGGAAATCCCTGTTGATCCAGAGGTGAGACCCCTTTCAGGGACTTGAACCATTACACTCTTGCCTAATAGATTTTCACATGTACCAAGCATCTTTTTTACTGCCCAGAGGTAGCAGTTTCTTATTTAAAAAAAAAAAGATTAAAATCTGTCCAAACTATGATGGACCTTAGAACCTTTTTTTTCTTAGCTGCCAGATAGCGTAGTGAATTAGAGCATATATTCTTTCCATCAGAGAGAGATTACATGTGCAGAGGATATGTTCTTGCATATGTGGTGGTGGAGAGATGCCTTCTTTCACTACTTCTGTACAGAAGTCCTTGGTCAGGCCTTCCAGCAGAAAACCTAGGAAACCTAAAGCAACGCCTGGCTTGTCCCTTCCGTCTTCCCCTCCCGATGTCCTGGCATCTGGCCTGGTACCTCTTTAAGAACTTTTTTCCCCTGTGTTCTCCTCTCCAAATTTTAAAACGATCTGCTTGCTTCTCCGGCAGTCTTACCTGAGTGCTAAAACTGTCACAAAGGGGGTGGCAGAGTGTCCCAGGGCGGCTTGTCATCTTCCATCTGGTGGAATATTTTATAGGGAGGAATAAAGCCTTCCCGAATGGAATGGTCCATTGAACAGAAAATGCCAAATGCTAGTTTTAAGAGGACATTGTCAACTGTTGCTTTGGCTTCTTAAATCCTTCATGTTAGAAAGCTTGTGCGAATCAGATTTGCTCCTGACTCAGTCTTTTCCCATTTGGCTTTATTTCCCCCTGAATGAGCAAGGAATTTAGTAAATCTTTTCTTATCTGTCTTTCTCTACCCAGGGTCCCCTTCCCTCAACAAATAGTGGCTACATGAGGAGTGTTTGTAATCACAAATGTTGAGATGCTCTAATGAATGGATTTTCTTGCGTGTAAAAGTTCTGTCTGTTGGTTGGACTCTTACCAAAACTATCACATACACAGCTAAACTGGGCAACTGCAGAGTTTTAAAGAATTTAAAGCGCCCCCCGGGGGATCCTCAGCTGTATGGAGCAGGGCCGGACTTGTGCCATTGGCAGTTCCTGCATTGCTTAAACACTTAATGTGTTGAAAGACCAAGTCACTGTGCTTCCCCGAAAGCATGTTAACACTACACATTTTACCTTTATCCTTTCTCTTACCTTTCATCTCAATTTCATAGGGTGATATCCATGAGGATTTTTGCAGCGTTTGCAGAAAAAGCGGCCAGTTGTTGATGTGTGACACGTGTTCCCGTGTGTATCATCTGGACTGCTTAGACCCACCTCTCAAAACAATTCCCAAGGGCATGTGGATCTGTCCCAGATGTCAGGACCAGGTACTGTGGCTGAGCCAGATGGGGAGGGGAGTCCATAGAAATTCCCTCCCCCATGTCTAGTTCTGGGATCCTGTCCACAGCATGGCCTGAAGGCATGCAGCCTTCATTCCCGCACAAGCTCCCCATCCTACTGACCCAGGTGGCGATATCCAGACTACTTCCCTATATCTCATACAACTGACCCTCTTCCTAAAAGTCCAGACCCACAAGTTCATTCTGCCTCATTCTATAAGAAGGATCAAACGCATTATCTGAGTGTTCTTTTATTTTGATTTTGGGTTTTTGAGACAGGAACTTATTACATTGCCAGATTAACCTAGAGCTCATTATTCGGCCCAGGCTGGCCTTGAACTTGGAATCATCCTGCCTCAATCTCCTTGAGGAGATTACAGGCATGAAGCATTACACCGAGTTCAGGATATGATTTTGAAACTATTCTGTGGAAATAAAATCCTTAAAAGAATGTATCCAGCTAATTAATTCAAATAACTACCATTTTAAACTCTATTGTCATCAGACTCAGAAAACTAACAGTAAAATGCTGAGTCTGTATTTCACAGACTTTAAAGGCCATGGGTATTAGTAATTGTCTTAACTTCTTCCCTCTTCTCTGTTTGGTTCATGGTCTCATTTCCTTAGATATTCATACATCTTTACATCTTCATAAAAGGTTTGATTATAAGCTGTCTCGAGTCTTTTTTTTTTTTTTTTTGGTCGGTTGTGGGGCTTGAACTCTGGGCTTGGGCGCTGTCCCTCAGCTCTTCAGCGCAAGGCAAGCGCTCTACCGCTTGAGCCACAGCGCCACCTCTGGTTTTCTAGTGGTTTATTGGAGATAAGAGTCTCATGGACTTTCCTGCCCGGGCTGGCTTTGAACCGAGATCCTCAGATCTCAGCCGCCTGAGTAGCTAGGATTATAGGTATGCCACCAGCGTCTGGCTTTTTTTTTTAACTTTAATTTTTATTTTTCTGTTTATGTGGTCCTGAGGAATTGAAGCCAGGGCCTCCTGCATTCAAGGCAAGCATTCTACCACTGAGCCATCTTCCCAGCCCCTGAGTCTTTTTTTTTTTTTTTAATTGTGAAAATACCATATAGAGGGGTTACAATTACAGGGGCAAGATAATGAGTACATTTCTTATCAAGCATTGTTACATCCTCCTTTGTTTCCCCTTCCCATCCCTTCCCATCTCCCACCCCGCCCCCACCCCCCTCGAGTCTTTAGGAAGAAGATGAGGAAGTACATTCAATAAGCCCTGTAGCCTGGCTAACAGTGGGATCAGCTCAGCTCCATTAAAGAAAAAAAAAATCCCTGATTTGGAAGAATTCTAGTTTCCTCCTTTATTTATTCTTGCAGTGCTGGGGACCAAACACAGGGCTTTGCATATGCTAGAGGAGCACTCTACCTTTGAGCTATATCCCTAGCCATTGGCTTTTCGACATAAAGGTTTTTTGGTGTACCTAGGCTGACCTCAAACTCAAAATCCTCCTGCCTCAGCCTCCTGAGCACTGGAATTACAGGTGTGCACATAGACCAGGCTGGGTCTCATTTTGAGCCTTGGTCGTCTTCATTCCTACTGTCTCCTGTGTAGAAAGATGCCCTCCTTCTACTCTCTTCCTGATTGTGCTGCTTTGGGATCCTCCAAAAAACTTCTACACAGGACTGAGATTATACTTTGGGATTTGGAACTAATGCTGGAATTCCTTGGTGAAGAAGGTAGCATAGGGCTACAATGAGATGGGCAGCCTTGTCAGGTCATGGACAAAACTGCCTACAGGCAGCCATTGTGCTAGCAGGTAGCTCTCGGGCTGAGGGTGGTTGGGCATCCGCCTTCTATGAGAAAGCAGGAATACTCACCCAGCTCACCAGCCCAGCCTTGGCTCTTTCTGCCTCTGAACTTCACTGTCCACACCTATCCTTATGGTCCAGAAGCTGTAGCACAGGGTCTTGCCATACTGCCTCCCAGAAACCTTTCCTGGATTTTGTCATTGGTGCTTGCTGTTACCTGGAGGATGTGTGTCAGAACCTCCTTCTCAAGTTAAAGTCCTAAAATTCTTTTCAGATGCTGAAGAAGGAAGAAGCAATCCCATGGCCTGGAACTTTAGCAATCGTCCATTCCTATATTGCCTACAAAGCAGGTAAAGGATTACCCACATCCATTTTTTAGTAAGGCCCACCTTCTTAAAGAAAATAATTGGAAAGCAGTATTTCTCCCTCCAAGAGGAAATTAAGGCTAAAAATGAAAGGCTTCCATTGAATGGTCAGTTTATGTACCACCTTCTTTGGAAAGAAAACTGGGAAGTGTGGTGCTGAATGTATGTGATCATGGGCCCAAGCCATAGTGAGTCTCTGTGCACGTAGGCATAGAACAAGGCAGTGTTGGGGGTACAGGTTCTGTGCCATGGCGTCATGATTCAGGGTGGTTTGGAAAACATATCTTTGGCAAACATTCGGAGCACAGTGGCCTTTTCAAAGAATTCGTTGTTAAGGATTGTTCTTTTTTTTCTTTTCTTTTCCCTAGCAAAAGAAGAAGAGAAACAGAAGTTACTTAAATGGAGTTCAGATTTAAAACAGGAACGGGAACAATTAGAGCAGAAGGTGAAACAGCTCAGCAACTCTATAAGTGTAAGTGTCCCACCTCCAGCCTATAGCGGTGGCCCCAGGCCCCTTCCACATCCCAAACAGCACACACGGGGACCCAGGGCCATTTATGGTCACTGTGTTTATTAGCCTCACTGACTGGAGCAGGTGCTGTTCCCTTCCAGTTAGAGGACAGCTCTCAAGTCCGGTGGCCAGGTCCCTTATCCAGGTTCTGTGCATCTTCCTGGCTTTAATCTAGCAGATTCCTAGTCTCCAGGCTGAAGAGATGAAGTAGCAACTGCAGCAGGGTAGGACCACTCCTGATGGTGTTGGAGATGAAGGTGGAGCTTCATCTGAGGCTGGGCAGGCAAGGCCAGGCCCCTTGTGGGACTCTCATCACCTGAGCTTGAACGTCTTTCCCTTCTTCGCTGCATTCTTCTACACCATGCTCATTGCAGGTCCCTATTTTCCTGACCAGTGTGAGGAAGAAGGGTTTCTAGAAATAACAGTAGGGCTGCCCAGCCCTGCCTGTCCATGCGGAAAGGATGGTTGTATTTGGAGCAGGGGGACAGGTTTCTTTTCTGTTCATTTGGTCACCGTTGTGGGGGTATGGCAGTCGTAACTTTTACACACAGCAGGTGGTACATAGACTGGGCAGTGAAGCTGTCTTCTCAGCTACTTTCCCTCATAACACTGCTGTGACAGGTGGGCTAAACGCGTCTTCTCTGTCTAAAACAGAAACCAGGAGCTGTGGGAGGCTAAGAGCGAAAGAGTAAAGATGGCGTGTCAGTGATCAAGCAAGACAGCTTCTGTTGGCCACGGTCCTTTGGCCTTGGGCTGCCTCGGGGTTTCTGAACATTACTGGCCCCCCAGGTCCTGCATCTTAAACTCTCACTGAGCAAGTGATCTTTGGCAAACCCTTAAGTGGAGCCCAAGTATTACTGACCTGTGCTCTGCCCTGGAGAGAGCTCGGTCTATCCTGAAGGCCACTGGTGGCCTGGTGGAGCCATCCCAGCACCTGCCCAAGCTAGGCAGTCAGTGAGGTCAGTCGTGAGGCTTGAACTCTGGGCCTGGGCCCTGTCCCTGCGCTCTTCAGCTCAAGGCGAGCACTCTATCACTTGAGCTACAGCACCACTTTCAGTTTTCTGGTGGTTAATCGGAGATAAGAGTCTCATGGACTTTCCTGCCAGGGCTAGCTTTGAACCGTGATCCTCAGATCTCAGGCTCCTGAGTAGCTAGGATTATAAATTTGAGCCACCGGCACCCGGCTGTGGGAACCTTTTGTTGTTGTTTAATGGTTTTATTCCGTAGCATTAATGGTGGTGATGCAAATTTGTTTTTAAGTGCTAGTGTACAGTAGGATAGGCTTTGAGCCCATTCGCCCACTTCCCTTGCCTCTTTCCTTAAGGAGTAGCCACCTGCTCTGGGCAGAACAGGACAGATTCTAGGGGCCGCCCACAGTGACTTTTTAGGGCATGGCTTGTCTCCTCTGGGGCTGGTAAGAGCCAGAGTCCCTGCCTTCTCATTTGCTACAGAAATGCATGGAAATGAAGAACACCATCCTAGCCCGGCAGAAGGAGATGCGTAGTTCCCTGGAGAAGGTAAAACAGCTGATTCGTCTCATCCACGGCATCGACCTCTCCAAACCAGTAGACTCTGAGGCCACCCTGGGGGCCATCTCCAATGGCCCGGACTGCATTCCCCCTGCCAGTGCCGCCTCCTCCACGCCGACCCCTTCCCCCTCCTCCCAGAGCTGCACAGCAAACTGTAACCAGGGGGAAGAGACTAAATAACAGAGCCCTGGAGAGAAGCCACGGGATCCCGGCGGCGAGGAGAGCAAAACGCTGAAGACTCTAGAAAATCAAAGCTGGATTTCTTCTGGAAAAGTACAGAATTCTTTTGGTTCTTTGGTTCCAGAGAGAGAGAGAAGATGCTTGTGCCAGGTGGCACCCGAGTTTGCCAATTGATCCTTCTTATTCTGTGTGTACATGCAAAGATTGGACCATGTTACATGAAATAGTGCCAGCTGGAGGTTCTTTGCCAGCACCATGCCAAGTGAAATAATATATTTACTCTCTCTATTATACACCAGTGTGTGCCTGCAGCAGCCTCCACAGCCACGAAGGGTTTGTTTTTGTTTGGTTGGGTGGGGAGCAGGGACGGGCCGAGGGAGGAGAGCAGGTTTCAGATCCTTATTTGTTTAGGAAGAGAAGACAAGTCCAAAGAGTGTGTGGGCTTTCCTGTCTCTAAACTTTCACTTCTATAAAACCAAAAAAGGAAATCGAGATTTAACCAACCCCAGTGCCCACTGGAGGGAAGGGGCGGGCCGGGAGGGAGCCAGGGATGGGAGAGTGTATCACATAGCAGTATTTCATTTCATCCGGAGGGGGCCGAGGGCCAGGAGAGGTGGACACCTAGAGCAGCCACTAGCTTCCTTCTCCCAGCTCTGCCCCCCACCTCGGGTGCCACTTCCCTGCGGAGGCCTCAGGCAGCCCCTGGACCCTGCCTGGTGTATCGCTCATCTGCGGTGATTGCTGTTCCTCCCTCTTCGAAGAAAAGGAGGCAAGCCAGGCCCTGCTGGCGCGGCCAAGGCAGGGAAGGAGTGTGCGCATGTGATGATCCAGGAAGGGAAAAAGGCGGATCAGTGATTTTACTTGAAAACATCCATCCCTTTTCTATATTTATAAGAAGAGAAGATGCTGAGTGACGCAGCACGACCCAGGTGTGTGTGAATTGAATGGAGACATTTCTTTTCCTCTTTTTTTTTTTTTTTTTTTTTTTACTTTTTGTTTTTGTTCTTGTTTTCTTTAAGCAAAGTTTTATTTTGTTGTTTATTTTACTTTTTTGGGTAACAAAAACTAAAATAAGGAATAGAAAAGCTGTTTTTCAGGCTGACAGTCCAATTAAGGGTAGTCGAGGCCTTGCATGGTAGAATAGGAGTCATAGTGTCAGTGCGGTCCAGTGAGTCTTTGTGAGTCCTGTGTCCTCGTCCGGGCACTGTTTTTTTATGCAAGGGCAAAAAAAAAAAAAAAAAAAAACTTTGTATCTGGGGAAAAAAAAAACAACAACAACTACTTTTTTTTTAATTAAAAAGGAAAATAAAAGATATTGAGGTCTTCCTAGTGTTACTTAAATTAAGATCAAGGTAAGAAACATTGTACAAAAAAAAAAATTACGAAAGTGCTATTTGTTTCCTAAAAACAGTGATTTCTATTAAAAAGGTGTCAGAACTGGAGAAAATGCTGTGTAGTTATAATTTTTTAGCACAGAACCTGCTGAACATGATACCGTTTTGCTGTGTTTGTGTCTCTCGACCGGTGGGCCGGTCTTCAGCAGGGGCTGGGGCTCTCCCTGCCTCTCCTTCTCGGAACAGACTGAGCAGTCTGCTTGGCACAGGGATCTTACCTCCTGCATTTGAAGGCCAGATGAAGTGTGCATGGTGTCAGGGCCTGCCGTGGTCTCCTCAGATGTTGCTAGAGCAAAGGCTGGTGCCTATACAAGATCCTTTTCCTTTGGTGCTGCTCTCGGACTTTCAGCCACCAGCATTATGAGTTCCTGGGGCGCCTCTAAGGGGCCGGCCGGTGAGGCTCCAGGCTCGTCCGTCCGTGTGGGCGCTCCGGCTTTGAGGAGGGCATGGGAACAAAGGAGAGAGCTATCTTGTGGATGCAGTGTCGCTGAGAGACTGCACGGCTTTCTGGTCTGCCTTGCCTTTGAAGAGAGAGGTCCAGAGCTCTAGCCACTTTCTCTGCCTGCTGGCTCCAGGCATCAGAGTGGGAACTCACCCGCTCCGTCGCCCACCCACACGCTTCCTGTGTGACCCTGGGCTAGAATCCCTGTGCTTGCCTTGGCTGGGCCTGTTGCAGCCTTTCCTTCCTTCTTAGAAAACTAGAGTCTGATCATCTCTCATCGCTCCAGTCGTGCTGTGTAGGAAGTGGATGGGCGAGATGCATGCTCTTGTGGAAGACCATGGTCCCTTCCACATCCCTGACCAAATGGCAGTGGTCAGGGCTCTGCACCCTGGCCGGTAGCCGCATCTCTCCCGAGCCTCCCCTTCTCTCCCACTGCCCCTCCTCCCCCAGCATTGTATCGGCCAGGGTTCCTCAGAATCAAGAAAGGCCCCTTAGTATCTGTCTCCTTTACCCAGTTAGGCTCAGAGGGGCAGGGATAGATCCTGATAGGAAGTGCCACAGAGAAGAGATGCTTAGAGTATACCAGCCGTTTCACCCATCTTCCCAGCATGTCAGCGAGCACCGGCCTTGGAATGAGGTCCCGGCTGCAGGTTGGCTAGAAGTGAGCAGGAAACTAGAAGTGAGCCCCCTGTTCTTGTTGAGAAACCAAGGCGCTGTGTCTAGTCAGGAAGCTTGGAGATGCCTGGACTCGTTGGAGGAATGATTGGCAGAGGATCAGAGACCCGCATCAGGCTGGACGCCGTTTCAGCTCTCCCGTTGGACTTGTCTGGGCCTATAGGCTGGGGCTTGCCACACAATACCTGTCTTTGCTAGAAGGATGTTGGGAAGCCATCATTCATAGAAGCCTTTGCCCCAGAAGAGCTACAAGAAGTTGATCAGTTCTCCCGCCTGCTGCTTTGCACAGTGTCACGTATGTTCTTCCTAAAGGTCAGGCAGGAGCTGCTCTGAGTCAGCTGGGGTGGAGTAGAGAATGCAGTCTGTCCTGGCCTCCATTCCTGCCTCAAATTCCACAGCAGAAACTGTCCTGTTGAGAAGAGATCCTCATTGCCCACCCAGACTTGCAGGTACCTGGCACACACCCCTCCCCACCCCACCTGAGCTGCCTCCATTCCTTTCCTTCTCCTGCCCAGGATTCAGCTGCTCTAATGGCCACCTAGGTGACCACAGCTGGCTTAGAAGCCCTTCTAAGACAGGAGCCTGGACTTGGAGTTTCCTTATCAGTCCCAGATCAGGACTGATCCCTAGAGGGGAGTGAGGTCACTGGCTGTCAGCCCCCACCTTTTGCATTCTTGGCCTGCAGGTGTGTTTTCTTTGCTGTAGCCTGCTGGGTCCTGTCTCACCTGGCTGAACAGCATCCACTTCTCATTTCTTCCTTCCTAGTTAGGCCCTTCAGGGCAAGCCTGCCGGCCCGGGACAGTCCCTGGCTGGCCTGACCTGTGTGGGGCCTGCCTCTAGCTCTTGCAATAGGGTTGTCAAGCTGGACCGTCAGTGTCCAGTTTCCCTGCAGGGCTGCCTCTGTCTCCTTGTTTATTGGCTGAAGCCCAGCGGGCAGCAAGAAGGGTGCACACACACCCAGCGCTGCCCAGGATGACTACTTCTGGCTTGCCCATCTCTGCACGAGCTGCTCCTTCTCCACCCCTGGGACCATTCCAGCCGCACACACAGAAGCAGTCTTTCCCTTCAGGCCTTGCTTGGGTGTGGTCCTTCTTACTTTCTTCAAGGGTTACATTTAGGAAACTTATTTCTCCCCTCCCCTCCCCCCTCCAGGAGCAGGAAGCTTCTAGGGGATTAAGATGGGGTGGTAGCCAGGGGATGTGTTCCAGGTCCAGGTTCTTAGATCAGGTGGCTTCAGATGGAGGCAGGACAACTTTGGCTCTGGGTAAAAATGTCTGTGCCTCACCCCACCCCTCAGCCAGGCACCCTTGGCAGGAAACAAGAACCCCATTCTCACCCTAGTCAGTTCCTATCCAAAAAGGCTGGGGTGGCCCCTGGAAAGACTTTTGCCTTCCCCCCCCCCCCTGGAATGAAGGCAAGGAAGCTGGGGCCACCCCTCCTGACAGCCAGGGTGAGACTCTTAGTCGCTCTCTAGAGGGAGGTGCACACTCATCCCACCTGGCACCCCTTTCCCAAGCTTTTCTCCAGGCCTCTATCTGCAGCAGCCACCCTGGCCCCTGCACCTCTCTCCAAGATCCTCGGCTTTCAGCCCAGGATGAGCTGCAGTCAGGAGGGCAGGACGGGCAGACCGAGGTCAGCAGGCTCCAGCAGAGGAGAGACGCAGCCAGACCCCAGTCCTGTCTCTTGTCCATGCCCTTTGTGATTTCAGTCTTGGTAGAACTTGTATTTGGAGTTTTGTGCTTCAAAGTTTTTGTTTTTGTTTGGTTTTTGTTTTAAGGGGGTGGGGGTGGGGATACAGAGCAGCTGATCAATTTGTATTTATTTATTTTAACATTTTACTAAATAAAGCCAAATAAAGTCTCTCGGCCTCATGGTGTTGGGTAGAGGGCTGGGGAGGATGGGCAAGACAGTCTAAGTTCCAGCCTTGGCCCTGGGGCCCTGGCTGCCTGTGAGTGGGGCCCTATCAAGGCTGTGGCCCTTGAGGACCCAGGCCATGCTGACTCCCACGGGAGCATGGCTCAGCCCCACTGACCTCCTCAGGCCCCAGAGAGCCCAGATTTCCCCAAAGCAGGAGGAGTGCAAAGAGAGATTTGAAAAACTTTAATTATGAAATAGGGATATACAATTGATGATGGAGCACCAGCCCCAAACCAGCTGGGGCAAGGGGAGGGGAGGCCAACCGCTAGCAGGAGGATAGCAGCAGGGGGAGGACTCCCCACACAGTGCTCCACCCAGTCTGACCACAGACCTTTTAAATAATTTAAATAGCAGATAGGGAAGGGAGGTTGGTGGGTGGGTCTGCCTGAGCCGAGGCTCCAGGGCATAGTAACCCATTCCAAGGAGGCCTGGGCTCCAGGGAGGCTCAGGCCAGGCTCTGGGGCTGCTGCAGGGCAGTGAGGTATTTGAGGGCAGAGGCCCCATAGCTTCGGGACAGGTCCTGATGGAATTCCTCTTTGAGAGCCTGCAGACAGGCTCGGTAGTCTGGGCTGGAGCGGAAGCGGGAGAGGTCAAGGCTTGGAGCGTGGGGCAGGTGGATGGTGAAGGCCTCGGGCAGCACCAGGAGCTCATATTCCTACAGGGGTAGGGCCAGAGGGTGCTGTTGGCCTGGGGGGAAGACCACAACCCCCCTAAAAGCCAAGGCAATGGTTAAGGGCAGAATGCACACAGAGACAGGGCAGGGCATCCCCTGCAGAGTTCAGTTGGAAACAGACACGAGAAGGTGGCCCCTCCTCACCTGGGCATCCAGCTCCATGATGTGGGCCACCTTGTTCCAACCAAAGCCCACAAAGCGCGGGTCGTAGCGGGGACAGTCACGTGGTACCACCACATAGGGCTCGTAGTCAGCTGCCCACTGCACACGGTATGGCGCCTGGGCTTCCCGCCAGCGGGCATAGTCTGTAGGTGCGTGGCCCCGGGGCCACTCGTGGTACCTGTGCAGCAGGAGCGGGGTGGAAGCCGGGCTAAGACTAGTGGCCCACAGGGGTGGGATCCAAGGTAGGGCCACCAGGCAGATCCACGGCCTCTCCTACCTGAAGGTGTAGAGGGCCCCCGTGTCCAGCAGGTCCAGCAGCTCAGCCTTGGAACTGGGGAAGCTGAAGCGGTAACGTGGGGTCTCAAAGGCGGGCACCACCAAAGCTGCCTTCCGCCTGCTGCCCAGCTCCAGCTGCTCGATGGAGGCCCTGAGGAAGAGCACGGTGAACACCGCGTATGGCAGACTCTAGCTGCAGGACTTGGCCATCTGGGCTGCAACAGCCCAGAGACACAATCTAATAATACAATGCCTATTTTGCAGAGAATACAGAGCCCCAAAAAGGCACAATCGCAGTTGGACACTGGTGGCTCACACCTGTAACCCTAGCTAGTCAAGCGGCTGAGATCTGAGGGTTACGGTTCAAAGCCAGCCTAGGCAGGGAAGTCTGTGAGACTCTTCTCTCCAATGAACCACCAAAAAGCCCAAGAGGAGCTGTGGCTCAAGTGATAAGAGTGCTACCCTTGAGCACAAAAACTCAGGGACAGCACCCAAGCTCTGAGTTCAAACCCTAGGACATGCACACCACTTGCACACACACACACAAAGGAGCAGTAGCTCACCAACAGTGCTGAGTGCAACGGGTGCCCCAAAACCCTGACAGCACCCACCCCAAATCTTTTTCCCCTCACGTCCTCCAGGCCTACCTGAGGTAGTCATAGAGAGAGTGGGCCGGCAGGAAGTCAATGTCACTAAGGAACACGTAAGGCGTGAGGGCCTGGGCTAAGGCCACATTTCGGAGCTGGTTGACTGGGTAGAGGGGCCCATCCCGGTACACCACATGATAAGCCACGTCTTGCCGAGCAGAAAGCACCGGGGAGGCCTCCACGAAATGCAGGAACTGCTGGGCCTCTGCATCTGTCAGGTACAAGGCCAGGCTCATGGGGCCTGGCCAGTGCCTGCACAGGGCTTCCAGCATCTGCAGCCTGGGGTGAGGGGGACAGTTAGCCCAGCTCTGCCCTTTTTGCATGGAGCCCCGGCAGGGCTGGAAAACTTCCCTAAAGTTACCTATCTGCTAGAGACTTCCCAATCCCCCCACACCCACCCCAAGTGCCTGAGCCCCTTTTAAGCACTTGGAGTCAGTCTCACTCAGCTTTTACAACCACCCCACTGGGGTGGGGAGAAACTAGGAGCCAGAGAGATTAAGACTTATTGTGGAGCCAGGCATTGATAGCTCATGCCTGTAAATCCTAGCTACTCAGGAGGCTGATCTGAGGATGGCAGTTCAAAGCCAGGCAAAGCAGGAAACTCTATGAGACTTATCTCCAATTAATTACCAAAAAGCCAGAAATGGAACTGTGGCTCAAAGTGGTAAAGCACTAGCCCAGAGAGAGCGGCCAAGCCCTGAGTTCAAGCCCAAGGATCAGCGCACATGCACACACACACACACACACACACACACACACACACACACACACACACACACACACACACACACACACACACACACACACATCCTGGGTCCCATGGCAACTCAGGCGATTTTAGGTTAATAGAATGACTACAAAAGCTCAACCTCTTTGCACCATATCCAATGTCTCTAAGTGCTGAAACTTTCCAGTGACCAGCCGCTCACTACCACAGCATCAAACTACCCGACAAAACCCTCTGCTTCAGAATTCCTGGCCCCATCCACGCCAAGCTAAGGCTGTCCTTGGCACCCTCACCGATCCATGGAGAGCTGGGCCACCAGCGTGACATCACGAGGCCGGGGAGGTGGTGGCTGGTGGGGCAGGAAGGTGATGTGGACTCGGTGTACAGTGAGCTGCTGTTGCCGGAACTCGAAGCAGCGGTCTTCCTCATCGAGTTGGGCCAAAGCCTGTTGTAACTGAGGGGGAGGAGAGGGGGGTGGTCCGGGAGAAGAGGACCAGGGCTGGACCAGAACATCATGACTAAGGTTGCCCCCCCCCCAGAACAGTGAGATTCAGGGCTGTCTTGGAGCAAGGGAAGACACCCCTCTCACCTGCTCAGCCCCAGGTGGGGGCTGGCTGGGACACCCAAAGAGCTCCCTCCGCAGCAGCTTCCCATCGTACCCCAGGAAGGTCAAGTACAAGTTGCGGAAGAAGTCGGCATGCTTGTTCTTCACCCGCAGCTTCTTGGGGGAATTCCAGTGGATCACCTGGACCCCCGGGCGTGTGAGCAGCGATGAGAACAGTGCCCACCCCTGTCCTGTCCTCCACTCCCTCCCTGCTCACCTTGAGGTCGGAGGCCTCAGAGTAGCAGCGCTCAGCCAGCGTGTGGTCAGACAGTTGTACATTCCAGACGCAGGGCAGCGGCCGCACCAGCCCCGGGTGCTCCTTAATGACAGCATTGAAGATGTCCTGGGCAGAGACAGCCATCACACCTCCATCCCTAGCCTGCCCACCCTTGGGCCCCACAAAGCTTCCCACAGACCTGGTCAGCCAGAGAGGTGGCGGGCAGGGAGAGGAGCACACGTCTCGCCGTCAGCTTCCACATCTGCTCCCAGCCAGCCTGCCGAAGCCGGTCCAGCCGCAGCAGGATCACGCCTGCCAACGGGGACAGGTTGCTATGCCCACCAGGGACAACCAGCTCCTGGGGCTGGGCCATAAAGGTGTCTGTGAAATGATTCTTGAATGCTTGTTTGTTGTGTAGGACTGGGGATGGATCCCAGGGCCTTATGTGTGCCAGGTAAGTCTTCTATCACTGAACTTTAAAAAAAATGGGGGGAGGGGGAGTGGAGGCAGGTGCTGGTGGCTCACGCCTGTAATCCTAGCTACTCAGAAGGCTGAGATCTGAGGATCATGGTTCAAAGCCAGCCCAGGCAGGAAAGTCCATGAGACTCTGATCTCCAATAAACCACTCAAAAAACCAGAAGTGGCACTGTGGCTCAAGTGGTAGCGCGCTAGCCTTGAGCTGAAGAGCTGAGGGACAGCGCCTAGGCCCAGAGTTCAGGCCCAAGGAAGGGCAAAAAAAAAAAAAAAAAAGAAGAAGAACTCAGGGACAGTGCCTAATTCAAGCCCAATGGCCAACAACAACCTCCAAAATAAGATAGTATCTTGCTAAGTTACCCAAGCTGGCCTGAAACCTACAATCTTCCTGAGTAGCTGGGATTATAGACATGCACTATCATGCCTGGCTGTTTATTGTTTGATTGTGGGCCACATAGTAACATTTTGGTCAATGACAGTGGTCCCATATTACAATGGAGCCAAAGATTCTTAACACCTGGTATTTTCACTAAACCTTTGATGTGTGCAGATATGCTATTACCATTCTGTAACAAGAGCCTACAGTCATTATTCTGTAGAGTAACTGCTTCTAGGTACTACAGGGAGAGGCTATGCCACTAGACTGTTCCATCTAGGTGTGTGTAAATATTCTGTGATACTTGTGCAAAGGCAAAATTGCCTAATGACCTAATGACACATTTCTGAAAATGTGTCCCCATGGCGCAGATGTAAGTACCAACTAACTACCCTTTGCCCAGGAGAGAAGCTGCATACTGCCCAACTTACAGAACCCTCCGTATTGATCTTCTCAGACTTTCTATCAAGACACTTTAAGCCTCCCTATATAAGGCTTAGGAAACTAGGGCTCAGAAGGACTTAAGCAAGTTGGCCACAGTCATCTAGCATGTACAGCCAAGGGTTTTTGTTTTGCTTTCCGGTTTTCATCAGTGTGCTTTCCAAGCATCATTCTTCCTAGCACTCTGTGCCCTGCCCAGCCCCGGGGGCCCAATGGTCCACCCCTCCTGCCTCCCTCTCCACAGCCCCCACCTGTGTTAAATCCCCGGCCCAAGGCAGGCCAGGGCCTGTGATTCTTCCAGAGGTTGCCCAGGTACCAGTCGCTCTGGTTCTCCACGAGACCGATCACCTGCTTGTCTGGGAGGGTAGGCTATGAGGGGGGCTGTCTGTAGAGGCTGCCCTGGGACCTGGGCTTGGGGCTAGACCACAGTGGGGCCTGGGGAACAAGGGAGAAGGTCAGGCCAGGGCCGAGTCCCAGGCCTCTCACCAGAAAAGTGAGCAAAGAGCGCCCAGAGCTCGGCGATGTCTGATGCAAAGGTGACATCTGTGTCCAGGACAATGACTCGCGCCAGGCTGGGCGGCAGGGCAAGGGGCAGCACTAGCTTCATCAGCCCGTAGAGGCCAGAGTAATGTTTGTTAGGGATCCAGGAGATCTGGGGCTGTGGGTGGGAAGGGCAGGGTGTGAGTCGGCAGAGCAGGAATTCTGGGAAGCAGGGGGTGGACCCCAAAAGGGTGAAGGTGTGAGGTGGAGACTCTCCCCCCACCCCCTACTACAGGAATACGAATGGAGTGCAGAGGTAGGGGCTCCTGCCTTGAGCTCCTCAGCATCATAGAAGCTGACAAGGACGGAGGGTACCATCCACGTGCGGAAGAGTGTCCCCAGAATGCTTCTGGCCACAGCGTCAGTCACCAAGTGGAGGTGCAGGGGGTTTTTCCTTTAGGGTGGGCAAAGAGGAAGTCTGAGGGGGCCCAGCAGGAGCAAGAGGCAGGCAACAGCTTTGTAACAGCTGTCTTTCCCCCAAAACAGCGTGTCCACATCCAGCTCCGGAGGTTCCTACAGTCACCCCTGGGGGAGGAGGGGCACTGCCCCCAAGCCAGGGACACGGCTCCACCGACAGCTGGCTGTACCTGTAGAAGAGCAAGGACTTCATCAGGGTGACGACATCTCGGCTGGAGTTGTGCCCCGCACACACGATGGCCACGTGCAACACCTGGGAAAGGGACACCAGGTTGGCAAGCCGCCGTTCTCCGCATCCACCAGACCGCTGGGCGCACCTGGCCTTGGGCAACGCGGCTGCACCTGGCATCAAGATCTAGGGAAACCAGGAATGGGGCCGCACCTGCACCTCACAGGCAAACTGAGGCCAGAGGCGCGGGAGCCCCACGCTCCGGGGGTCCCCGGCTGGCTGCTCAGCGCTCAGCCAGAGGCCAGGTGTGTGGATTTCCACGGGTGTCCGTCCAGGTGTCCGGGCTGGGGCGCGGGCCCCGGGGACGGCAGCCGCCAGGGGCCGCGCGCACCTACCTACCTCGCACTTGGGCGGCAGCGGCGGCTGCGGGGCGCAGGCGGAGCGGTTGTGGCCCCCGGATCCCGCCGACGGCTCTCCCCGCAGCTGCCCGTCGAAAGGGACACGTGGCGTGAGCAGGCAGCGGGCGCACCCCGGGCCCCGCGCTGGCCCGCCCGGCTGGCGGCGCTCGGGGTCCCCGCCGGACAGGAAGGGCCCGAGCAGTAGCGTCAGCCCCAGCAGCAGCAGCAGCGCGGCGGCCCCCAGCGCCCGGGGGCGCCCTCGGGGCAGCATGGCCGTCGGCGGGCCGCTCAGGGCGGGGCGCGACCCCGGGCCGCGGGCTCCATCGCGGGCTCTGCGGACCAAGCGCGCGGAGAGGACGGTCAGCCCGGGACGGCGGTGCCCGACGGCCGCCCGTCCTCCCCGCGCCGAGTCGCCGCCCTCACCTGCTGCAGCGGCTCCCGGGCCCAGCCCCGCGGTTCCGGCCGCCGGCCCCGGTGCGGGGAGCCCGGGAGAGGCGCGGGCCGGCCCCGCCCCCAACCTGGGCTCAGGTTTCACCTCCGCTTGGTTGAGCCGAAGGGGCGGAGAGACCCCCCGGGCCCGGGCCCGGCTCCGCCCCGGCCCCGCACTTGACGGGCCCGCTAGTCCGCCGGGAGCCCCGAACCCCTTTCTGGGTTAGGGTTTCCCACCCAGACGCGGGGAGGGCCGTGGGGAGCGCAGGCGGCTCCCCAGCAAGGTCCCCCCCCCGGCGCCACCTGCCCGGAGCCCACCCCCCTCCGGGCCCGGGACCCCATCTCCTCCCCCTAAGGGGAGGGGCCGGTGACCCGGGACTCCGGTTCAAACAGAGATCGGAATGTCGGGGCCCCGGGGGTCGGGGGGTGGGGGGAGGACACCTGCCCGGGGACCGGAGGCGGGGCCTGGCGAGACCTGCCCGCGAGCAGCCCAACACCTGGAGCCGCCCCGTTCAGCCTCCGCGCAGGTGGCCCGGCCCCGCCACACAAAGCGCCCTTTTGAAGGCCACCTCCCGCCCGCGCGCCCTGTGAGGGGCCTCGCCGCCGCCGGGACCCGGCCAGCCGTCCCCCCGCCCTCCCCGCCCCGGCCCCGGCCCCGGCCCCGGCCCCGTCGTTTAGAGAGGGTCGTGATTGTGACTGGCGCCAAGGCCCGGATCTCCTCCTCCCTGCCCTTCTCTCTCCACCCCACGGCAGGCCCCAGGGCAGGCAGGAGAGTCTGGCCCTGGTAGCGTCCCGGACCCTCTGGACTGGGGAGCCTTCACGGTTGGCTGAGCGCATACTACAAGCCAGGCCCTGTGCTACGGGTCTGACAAGCCTCCTCGCCCGAGATCCGAGGACGCCCGCTGCATTCTCGGCTGGGAGCTGGAGTCGCCAGTTAAAGACCAGACTCCTTCCGACCCGTTCTTGTGTCAGCCCCTCTCCTCTAAGCGCCCCTAGGCTCTTTTCTCCTGGAACTTTCTCTTTCTTGAATCTCCTGACCCAGGACTTGACCTTGCCCTTTCTTTTGCTGTTATGCAAATCCTCACCGCACATTCCTTTGTTTTCTTCCCTAACCCGAGGAGAGGAGGTTAGCCTAGTGGTGGTCTGTTTCCCTCAGAGCGTGTAAGCTGCTGGCGGGGCCTGGGAGCTAGTACTCTGTCCCATCTTGTGCTGAGTCCCCAGTGCTACACATTCCAAGTGCTCGGTATGTGTAGAAAGTGGATGGGAGTGAGACTCTGCCCTCCAAAGGCTCCACTAAGCCTCCCCGGAGATGTGGAAAGGAACTCAGGCAGAGCCTTTTAACCCTACACCCAGCTGCTTTGGAAAAGTAGTCCAGCCACAGGCTGTCTCCTCCTCTCCCTCTGAGTGGCCAGGATGCCTTTGGAGGCCAGGATAATGGTTGCTATGGAGACTGATGGTGGCTCCTTGTACATCTGGGATTGAGAAGACAGTGGCATGCAGGGGCCACTTGTGTCTAGAACTTTGAATTCCAGCTCCTCATCTTCATCTCCAGCCTGCAGCTGGGGTGGAGGTAGAAGATTGATGGGGAGGGGGGAGAGAGAGGGAGGAGAGAGAGAGAGAGAGAGAGATCTTTTGTGTAGGTTAAATGCCTGGAAGCAGAAGCTCATAGGGCTTTTAGCTGTAAGGTCTTCCTTACAGGAGACCGGAGTTAAGGAGACCTGTCAGTCACTCACAGTGCTGGCTCCCTCTCTCAACCTCAGCACCGGGGAGATGGGAGCCTGAGATGTCTGCAGGACCTCCAAGAAGCAGTTCTAGGGATGAGCATATGAAAGAGGGCTGGTTCTCTTGAAGCTGGATAGACTAGGGAAATGAAGGATAGTCAGCTTATAGCACATACAGTAGATACTCTTTCATATACTTCCCTTAAGATTAAGGGAAAAGGGCTGGAAAGATGGCTCAGTGGTAGAGTGCTTGCCTAGCATGCATGAGGCCCTGACTTCAATTCCTCAGCACCACATAAACCAGAGAAGTCGGAAGTGGTGCTATGGCTCAAGTGGTAGAGCACTAGCCTTGAGTTGAGGGACAGTGCCCAGGCCCAGAGTTCAAGCCCCATAACCGACAATGATTAATTAAAATTATTTAAGAGAACAAAGTCCTTTTAGGGGAAATGAAGCAGGATAAATGAAGGGAAAATGAGGTACAGTCAGCATACAGCAAATACAGAAGATATTCCTCTATGTACTTCCCTTAAGATTAAGGGAACAAAGGTCATTTTAGAGAAAATGAAGCAGGATAACTTAAGGAAACTGAGGCCTGGTGAAGATAACTCAGAAACATGGTATTTAGAAACTTAGAAATGCTATCTTTGCTTCAAAGAGAGACAACAGGATGCATTCATTCCTGAGGGATGCATTTAGGTATGCCTTCCTGAGAAAAATGCTTGCCTAAACTTAAGCCTCTGGCCCCAAAATGCAGACTGCAGGGCGCCTTCTTGTCTCAAGGATAAGGATCTGTTTTATGGAAGGATACATTCTTACCTGGAAACTCAGAATAATGCCAAGTGTGGTTAGGGCAAAGACAAAGAACCCAACTTTGCATAACTCTGAAGCCAGACCCCTGCTTTTAACATATAAATACCCCCAACAGCCCAAGGAGCTGTGTGTCTCTCCCTTTGAGAGCACCCACACTCTATTAGAGTGTGCCTCTGCTCTTCTGTTTGTGTTTGTCTTTTTGTCTGTCTGCTTGCCTGCTAGTTTACTTAATAAAGCTCTGCCAAGTTTTCTTACTGTTGTGACTTGTCCAGAAATTCTCATTCTGCGATCGAAGTCAAGGACCCTAAGTGAAGAGTTCCTACGTTTAAAGGGAAACGTCACTAAATCTCACCTCCATCCAGTGACACTCTGGTGCCTAGGCTGGGTTTGACCCAGCCCTGCCCAAGGCTTTGCTTCATGACCAGTTGAGAGCCTCTTCTCTGGAGTTCAGGTGTCTGCATCTATACCTGTTGAACTGGTCTTTCTCTCTCCCCCTGTGACTTGGGCCACAACAAGTGAAGATCTATTTCAATTTGCCCAGAGGCCTTTTCCAGGCCAGCCTGGTGGCCAAGCCCAGGCAAGGGCCCAGCATGAAGGAGCTGGCCTTCAGTGCCTCCTGTACACATGGCCAGGCTTTGGCTTATCAGGCTCAACATCTAGAAGGGAAATCCAGGCAACTCTGCTGCTGCCAACCTGACCTTTGTGTTGGCCTCCCTAAAGAGGAGGGAAAAGAAGTTACAACTCTAGTACTCTGTCCTGGGGGACCACTCCTCTGCCCTCTAGGACCATTTCCTCCCTAGAGCACAAGACCACCAAACCTGCCAGTGCAGATGAAACTTGGACACCCCACCCCCACCCCTCATTTTCTCCATAGCTAGAGAAGGGACTGCAGGAGTGGGCAAAGGGGAATAAGTTCATTAAGATCTTGAGGATGAAGGAAAGCAAAACTACACACATTGCTGCCCCATGTAGAGTCCGGGTCCAAAGTGCTCACATGCCTCATAACCAAGGAGCTTCATTCAACATGCCACAGCTCTTGCTGAGTTCTAGGAAGTAAGCTAGATGTCATTGCCATCTGCCCTTTAAGTCAGTGCCTTGCAGTGCTACCTGGGACAAGCTCTTTCACCTCCCTTGGGTCTCTGATTCCCCATCTGTGAACAAGAGTTCTGGAGTGAGTGAGTGTGACACCTAGGGGGTATGGAGAAATGGCTTCCACAATGGAATACTCACACTGTCCTCTCTTCTTGAGGATACCTCCTGGAGTATTCATGGGCAGCTCCAATTTCCTCCCTCATAAGGAGGAAAACTAAAGAGGTGTGGAAAGCTTGTAGCCAGCTGGAAAGTGTAATGGTTAAACACCTTGGCTCTGGGTCACATTAGATGTATATGCCAATCAAGAAAAGACCAATCATGAAAAGACTTTTTAAAAGAAGTTGTTCTCTTTTAATCAATATAATTGTAAAAATAAGAGGTTTCACTATGGCATTTTCATACATGCATCTAAAACATTGACTGGGTGTCCTTACGCAGACCTTCCTTCCTCTGAAGCTATCTAGTGAAGAAGAGGTAAAGGAATTACAATTCCCGGAGTTCCTACCATAAATCTGTGGATCAGGTCCCCAAAGGCGCAGGCAGGCCACGCCCCCTCCCCACAGCCAATCAGCCGTCTCCTCCCCCACTCCTTCCACTGGCTGAGGCTCTGTCGCCACCCCTCGCGGCGAGGCTGCGGGGTTTGAGACGGAATCCCCAGGATTTTCCCCGTCCCTCGCGGAGCAGCTCAGGGCCACTAGGCTCATCGTAGGGCCAGAAAGCGCCCTGAGATTCGTCCAGCGTTCAAGGACAAGTCTGCTTTCAATTTTTTCCCGATGGGGAGACCCCCGCGGTCCAGGGAAGGGGAGCTCCTGTCCAAGGTCTCTAGCAGAAAGCAGAACCCGGGGTCAGTTTTCTCCGAGGAGGAGGAGGACGCCCAGGTGCGCGCTGTGTGTATGGGGAAGACAGTCCGTGAGATCAGGGGCCGAAGCCACCGCATTAAATCTGATAGTCTTTTTTTGGGGGGGGGGGTTACGACTGCATTAGGGAGGCCTGCCTTTTGTGGGGGGACGGAGAGGTCAACTGGCCAGACGTGCACCTGCTGGAACAGCCTGCTCTTAGACGCCCCGCGCCTCCCCAGACCCGAGCTCTTTCCCGCGTGCCCTACTTCGAGGTCCTTTAGAAGCGGGTCCTCCCGTTCGAGCCTCTCGGCGTTCTATTGGAAAGACTCGGAATTTGTGAAACCTTCTCTGGAATGAACTGCTCAGACTGACGGGGAGCAGTAAGAGCTACAACTGCGCGGGCGCAAGGGCAGCCAATCACAAAGGCGGAAGGGTCAATCACGACAGCTGGGGGCGGAGTGTTTTTAGCCAATGAGTTGGAAGAGTAGGGAGGGCGGGTTTCCCCGCAGTCGCTGGGCGCTTTCCGAGTGGGAGGTGACTGAAGAGAAGGGGTGAAGGGTGGTTCAAAGGTTCATCTTGTCGCCACCATCCTGCGGGCCCGCGGAAGTGAAGCAATCGGGAGGCGGGCCTAGGACCGGAAGCAGGAAGGAGGGCACAGGAAGCAGGGCCCCACCGCCAGGCGTATTCTGGATCCGCGAGTCTGTCGGTGCCCAGTGCAGGATGGAGAAGCTGCGGCTCTTAGGCCTCCGCTACCAGGAGTACGTGACCCGTCACCCGGCCGCCACGGCCCAACTGGAGACGGCGGTGCGGGGCCTCAGTTACCTGCTGGCAGGTGCCTCCCTGACCTTTGACCCAGTCCTTCGGGGACCTGACCTGTGACCCTAGAGGGACCTTCCACACGTCTCAGGGTAGCAATCGCTGACCTGAGAAGTTCCGTCTGGGTTCCCGTAGGGCTCAGGGAGGGGATGTGCGGGGTTCCGAAACTACGGGCCGAAGCAAACGTTCACCGATGGCTTCTGTACCTTCTCCGCAGGTCGCTTCTCCGATTCGCACGAGTTGTCAGAGCTGGGTGAGACGGGCTGTGGGGTGGGATAACTTGGGGGGGGGGGAGGCCTGGTCCTGGGAAGGGTCCAAAGAACGTGATCACAGGCTCGAGGACCTGGGTTGCCCATTAAGTCACGGTGGTACGACTGAGTCACACAGGGCCATTCGTGTTACCGTAGTAGGGAGACACCTTGTGTGTTGGGTCAAGCCCCTTTCCTCCCTACGGCTTTGAGGTGGGCACAGTTAACAGTGAGATATGACACAGACTTTCAGGGACAAGCTGTAGAGGGAGCAAAGGTGAGGTGGTGGGACCCCACACCTGTGGCTGTTTGGAACAGCCATAGTACTGGCTAGCAGGGCAGGGGCGGGTTTGTCCCTGAGCTGAGCCCATCCCTTGTTGGTTCAGCTCAACTGCCCACACAAAATCGTACTGGGAGTGTGGGTCTGTGAGGAACTGGGTGGAAGGGAAGGTCGGTTTCCACATAGCCTGTGGGTGGCTGAGCATGGCACGTGACAGATGATCCCTGAAGCTCTGGGGAGAAGGTGATGGGAGTGTAGGCCATAGAGCCGGCCTCTGAAAGCTACACTCTACCCCCTCAGTGTACTCTGCCTCTAACCTGCTTGTCCTGCTCAACGATGGGATCCTACGGAAAGAGCTTCGGAAAAAGTTGCCTGTGGTGAGAATTCTTCCAGGAACTGAGGGTGGGGATGCACGGAGATTCAGGAACCTAATAGTAATGATCAGCGCATGCACGTGATGTGTGATACCTCAGAGTTGGAGACATGCCTACATCTGGCATTAACATCCTCATCTCAGATGAACAGAGTGTGTCCCAGGCCACCCAGCCTGTTAGTGATGGAGTTGGTATTTGAACTCAAGCCTTAGACTTGGGACCAGGGGAGTTCCCTGACCTTTTGGCCTGGGCCTCTTGCAGTCGCTGTCCCAGCAGAAGCTGCTGACGTGGCTGAGCGTACTGGAGTGCGTGGAAGTGTTCATGGAGATGGGGGCCGCCAAGGTGTGGGGCGAAGTGGGCCGTTGGCTGGTCATTGCCCTCATCCAGTTGGCCAAGTAGGTTGGGCTGTGGAGGGCAGGACTTGGGTGGGGTGGCCCAGGCCAGCTATAAGTATGATGTTCAGCAGAGCAGCCCTGCCACCCGCTTGTTAGCCACCTCCCCCAGCCCTGCCATACTCCCCAACCCAGGGCTGTCCTTCGGATGTTCCTGCTGATGTGGTTCAAGGCTGGCCTCCAGACCTCACCCCCCATTGTTCCACTGGACAGGGAGACCCAGGCACAGCCCCCGGGTAAGCTGCTTTCCTGCTCTGGAATGGAACCGGGCATGGGACTTACGTTGCATTTAGAGCCAGCCAACATGAATATGACATTGTGCACTTGTAGAGCACATTTTGGTTTCTTCAACCTATATTCTACAGAGAAGAAGAAAGGAAGATTAGGTTGGGGACAGAATTGGAACTTGAACTTGGGACTTCATTTTATATGTATCTGTGGGTACATATATCATGTTGGGGATAGAAGCCAGGGCCCCATGCATGCGAGGCAAGTGCTCTACCATTGAGCTACACCCCAGCCCTGAACTTAGGACTTCAGATGTTCGAGTCCTTTCTTTCTTGTTGACTGAAGAGGGGGACAGAGCATGAGCAGGAGGTAAGCCAGCCTACCAACCTCATTTCTAGACCTGGATCCATACCATGAGACACAGCCTCAAGAAGCAGGGCGCCTGGCAGGCTCTGGCCCTTCAGAGCTTTGCATCACCTGTCATCCTTGGGCCTCTCCATCTTGATTAGGCAGCGCTTGGCTGCTCATCGTGGTCACGTTGAAACCGAAGGGCTGAGGGGATGTGGCCTCCGGGGTGTGTGCTCTCTGTGGATATGGCTGGGCTGAGTCTTGCACAAGGCACTCGGGAGCAAGGACTGGGTTCTCGTCTGACTCTGGCCACAGGTGATTGCTGACCTTAACCTCAGGCCCAGGAGAGCTCCAGAATGTTCCCTTGGTGAGAAGCCACAAGCTGAACCACATCCCCTGGCTCCAGATTTCTTGGCTCAGAAGTGGCCTTCATTCTAATTCATACACTCTCTACCTAGCCTTTGAACAGCCATTGTACCATGTTGCTTGCAGACTCTGCTGGTAACACGTCCTGTTGATGAAATGTCCTTCTGTCTGTCCCCACTAGATGACAACCATGGCCCGGGCAGCCAGGAGCAGTCCTATGTGGGGAAGCGGTCAAACCGAGTGGTGCGAACCCTCCAGAACAGTAAGTGGAGGATGTAGCTGGACTGGGCACCTCGACACTGAGGTCAGTGTGAGCCTGAGGGACTGGCTTCGACTGCGCCCATCCTGCCCTGCCCCAGCCTGACTTGTGCATCTGCCCTTGTGTTCTAGCTCCGTCTCTGCACTCGAGGCACTGGGGAGCCCCCCAGCAGCGGGAGGGACGGCAGAAGAAGCGGCAGCAGGAGCTGAATGTCCCCCCAACACCCTTGGGGCTCCAGGAGACCATTGCAGAGTCCTTGTATATCACCCGGCCCCTGCTGCACTGTATCCTTAGCCCAGCCTATGGTTGGCTCTTTGGGCTTAGTTAGGGTAAGGTGGGGAAATCGGCTGCACCTGCCCCTGTGCTGGAGACATCCTTGACACCTTGGCCGTCAGTGCTTAGCCTGGGCGTGTGGGGACAGAGGTCATGGACACCCTGGCTGCTGTCTGGTGTTGTGGATGTGACTAGGTGAGCCTGGGCCTTCCTTGGGGCTCTGTTCCCTCCACAGGGCTTCATGTTGCAGGCCTGGCCTCCTGGATGTGCAGTGGCTCCTGCTTGTCCTGCGACTCCCTGTGGCTCCCAGCCTGCTGCTCCTCTCTTGGCACAGGTCGTGCCTGGCTTGATCATGCCTTTTCCTCACAGCCTGAGCCTCCTGAGTGACAGGAAGGGCCTGACCCGGAGGGAGAGGCTGGAGCTGCGACGCAGGACCATCGCGCTGCTCTACTACCTGCTGCGCTCCCCGTTCTACGACCGCTTCTCGGAGTAAGGAGCTGCCCACCCACCCACCTTGCCCAACAGGGGACTGGGACGGGCTGCGCTGCAGGGGGAGGGTAGAGCAGTACTGCAGCCCTCCTGCTGCCTGCCTCCTCCCTCCTCTCCCTCCCCCTCCCTCCCTGTCTGGGCTTCACTGACTGCCTAGATTGTGCCATCCAGGAAGCAGTCAGCAGTAGGGCTGTGTGAACTTGAACACTGGTTGGCACACAGGGCAGGGTGAGGGCACTGCAGGGAGGCCCCGCTGTTGGTGGCTGTTGGTGGCAGGTATGGGCTCTCCACCTGCCGGCTTATTTCCATCTCTTCCAGCCAGTTAGTGTGGATTATTCCACTTCTCAAGCCAGGGAGCCAAGCATCAAAGGGGCGGAGCAATAGAACAGATGCCACCAGCCAGTGAAGGCGATGTTCTCTCCCCTAGACTGCATGCCCTCCACTTTGGCTTACTCTCCCTCCTGCCAATCTGACCAGCCTGGCACCCTCAGAGCCGTGGCCCCCAAACCTAGTGAAGTCTGTTCTGGTAAAGAAAGGGAGATGTGTGCTCTTTGCAAGGAGCAGTCTCCTCTCCCCATCTGCAGCCCCCACAGTTGTCTGTGGGGCCAGCCTGCCTTCTGGGGGCCTGCTCTGGGCCACCCATGTGGGAATACTGCCTCCTGTGTAACAAGGCCGTGGGACAGTGAGAACCTCTACCTCGGGGCAGTTGTAGTGTTACGCAACTGGTTCACATGACCACGCTAGGTATGTGGTAAACTCTTTTTTTTTTTTTTTGGTCCGGTTGTGGGGCCTGAACTCTGGGCCTGGGCGCTGTCCCTCAGCTCTTTTAGCTCAAGGCTAACACTCTACCACTTGAGCCACAGCGCCACTTCCGGCTTTTTTCTTTTTTGCTTATGTGCTGGGGAATAGAACCCAGGGCCTTAGGCATGCAAGGCAAGTGCTCTACTACTGAGCCACCTCCCCAGCCCCCATGGTAAACTCTTGATAGATGTTAGGTCTCGTTTTTGTTGGTCTTGCTAAGGGTCAAATCCAGCGCCTCACACGATCTAACACAGGTCTACTGTAAATGTTCTGCTACTGAGCTACATCTCAGCCTTTAAATGTTACGTCTTTAGTCTTTGTCTTTTTTTTTTTTTTAATAATTTCCCTTGACATCATGGAAACCTATAGAAAACCCTTTCCCTCCCTCTTCTTCCCTCTCTTCAGCACTGGGGCTTGAATTAAGGGCATTGTGCTTGCTAGGCTGGCATGATACCCCTGAGACTTCAGCCATATTTTTCACTGGTTACCTTTTAGGATAGGATCTCGCTTCCCACCTGAGCCCCTATCCTCCTACTTTTAGGCTTCATATCATCAATGGCATCACAGGCACGTGCCACCAGGTCCAGCTTCCTTCTGTGGAGATGGAGTCTTGCTGGCCTGGCACCAGGATCCTCCCAATCTCAGCCTCCCCCCTAGCTTGGAAAGACAAGCCACATGCCGCTGCACCTAACTCTGGATTAAGAAGGCATCTCTTGAACTTTTCTGTCTGGGCTGGCATCTAACAGGCAATATCCTGTTCTAGCCTCCCAAGTAGCTAGGATGACAGAAGCATGCCACCCACACTTGGCTGAAACCCCCCCATCTCTTAAAACCCAGGGTTCGCCCTCCTTGGGCCCTGACAGCTCTCAGCTCAGGCTTGTGAGGTTTCTGTGTGGCTCAGCCTTTCTGTCAAACAGGGCAGGATGGGCTTCTCTCCATTAGAATCCACTGGCCACTGGCCCAGTGCTGAGGTAGATGGAGCCTTGAGCATCCCGGGTACAGCCGGGAGTGGGCAGAGCAGAACCCTCTGGAGGTCTTTTGCCCTCTATACCAGGCTCGTCCTCTGATGCACTTCTTTCAGTCTGGCAGTCAGCAAAGACTTTTTAGCTCATTTGCAGGGAGCCACACCTCTCCTCAGCCAGCTCCCTGTTTCTCACCATCCAGGGCCAAGATCCGCTTCCTGCTCCAGCTGCTGGCAGACCACATCCCCGGGGTTGGCCTTGTGGCAAGTAAGCATGGATTGAGTGTCACTGATGGCAGATGGCACATGTGACCCCCATCTCCTTGTTTGCTCTGTCTCCTTATATAATTTGATTCTTAGCACGGTCGAGGCAACTTGAGGTCATTGATGGGCAGGTGACAGCTCGAGACCTCAAACAGTGTGGCCTGTGGAGGTGGGGGATTATTAGGCCATTTTGTGGGCCTGGCAGCCTTCCTCCTGCCTTGGCTGGAGTACCATGAAAACACCTGAGTGGAAGGTCTAAGACAGGCAGGGGGCTCTGGTCAATTTGAAGCTGTCTGGGGACACTTGACAATGTCTTGACTTCCCTAGCCTGAGTATTCTTATTTGTAAATGGGATCTCCTCACTGAGGAAGAGGTGGGGGTAGGCTGGCTCTCAGTGGTACAGGAAGCAGCTGGACTAGTAGTAGGGCAGAGCAGGTCCGGCCTTGACTCTCACTTGTTCATTGCTCTCATTGCAGGACCACTCATGGATTACTTACCTAACTGGCAGAAGATTTATTTCTACAGTTGGGGCTGACAGACATCCAGGGAGTGGGGTGCTGGGGGGACAGGATGGCATGCTCGACTGCTCCTGGCAGGGCTTGCTTCCGCCTTGCAGTCTCCCGGGCCCCTCTTCCTTAATAAAACTGACTCTGGCAGTGCCCAAGCATGTGGCCTCTCCATGCCCACCGCCCAGCACCTCCCCTGCCCTGCGAGGCTCTGCACATGGCCCAGGTCTCCACCAGCATTCCTCCCAGTATCCACTTGACTCTGGCCGCACCCTCCTGGAAGGAGACACTGCAGCCTGCTTCTGGCTGGGCCAGGAAGCCTCCACCAGGCCCAGGATCCCTGGTTTGCACCACAAAGCTGGATATAGCCTCAAAGCGTGCAAGCAGCCACTTGCCTTGGCAGCTGGAGTAAACACTGCTTTCTTGATGGCCCCTGGTGAAGATGCAGAACCACACAGTGGATGGCCACTGTCCAGCATGCCTTCTCACCAGGGCCTTTGCTTGCCCTTCCCCTGCACGGCCATGCCGAATAGCCTCCAACCTGTGGTGGGTCTGGTACAGCTTGGAGAGTAGACCTCTTCTCCTATGGGAGAAGGCAGCAGGCACCCGCAGCTCTTGGGTTAGGATAGGGAAGGAGGGGAGCCCAAGGCGGAGGGAAAGCCAGATGAGTGCAGCCACCCTGCTGGCTCCTCCCTGCAGAAGGGAAAGGGCCTGGGCTGTATGGGCCTGAACTTTGCTCTCCCTCACTACCCCTACTGGTTGTCCTGTGGCAGGCCTAGCCTCTCTTTGGGGGGCTTCTGGGTAGCAGTAGTCCCTCAGGCTCTGTAAAATGCCCCTGGCTTGAGGGTTGCCCTGGGAGGAGCCAGCTGCATCCCAACCAACGTGCTTCCCCATGTGCCTCTGAGAAGGGCCACCTGCCACAGGGTGGTGAACACCTGTGATCCCAGCTAGGACTGCCTAGCAAGACCCTGACTCAAAACTGAGCAGCGGGTGCTACCCAGGCTCTGTGCTGGGAAGTGACTGTGTGGCTCCAGGCAGTGGGTGAGCAAGAGGAGCCGGTCAGTGGGCCTGTGACCTTTGGCTCATTTTGATACTTGTTAAGCTTGCACTTGCTCAGTGGTAAGCTCTCTGCCAAGCCTGTGGAGGCAGCAGGGCCCAGGGCCCTGTCCTCAGCTCCCCTGCCAAGGAGCCACCCATGGGCACAAGCCACACTGGAGCCATGGTGCCATGTAGATGGTCCAGCTAATGGAGAGGGCACCACTGCACATGCTCCCATAGTGACTTTGCCACAAAGCCTACAGCTTTGTTGTTTTTTCCGGTACTGGGGGGTGTTGGACCTAGGGCCTCACATTTGCTGGGCACTGGCTCTAACACTGAGCTACCCTTGCTGTAGCCTGTGTTCATCTTTTTTGGTAGAGGAGGAGGCTAGTGAGGTGCTACGTGAGCACAGAAGGGGGCAGGGCCACAGCTGATGGCACAGGGGAAGGACAGGGCCAGAGGTGTCCCATGGCCAGCCAAGGAACCTGGCCCTGGTATGGGCAGTGGGGAAGGGGCTGTTCAGCTTGTGGAGAACACCTGCATGGGCAGCACTGGGAGCGGTGGGCATCAAGACTTGTACTGCAGGGGAGCTGGAGTCAAGGCAGGGGCTGTGGGAATGGGGATTATGGGGAACCTGGGTAGTTTGGGGGAACACTATAGATAGTATCTAGAAGGCAAGGAAGTTCCAGGTTCCTGCAACTCAGGGTCCCCAGGATGCTGCCATTTGAGAAGAATTTGCCTCCAGGTTGTGAAAGGGTCCTGGGGAAGTTATTGTGTGGTTGAGGGCACTGGGGAGAGAGCATGGTACTTGTCTGCCTGGGGGGAGATGTGGGGCCAGAAGCCAGGGCTGGGAACACAACTTTTTCTCGGCTATGAATAGGCCTAGAGCAGCAGCAGCAGCTTGGGTTGCTGTTTAAGAAGCAACTGAGTTCCTAAGTCAGATTCTGGGCCTGGCCCTCAAATCCCCATGCCACCATGGGAGTGGGCAGGATTTGGTTTGCAGTTCGGTGGAAGTGAGCCAGCGTGATGTGCTATCTGTAAGCAGGCCAAGTTGGGCTGCAGTGAGAAGAGGCAGGTAGAGGTTTTGGCCTTGCCTTAGGTCTGTGCCTCATGTCCCCATTCCATGCGCTGAGCACCTCCTGTGGGATCCCATGGTGTCAACCACACTGTCCTCCTATGCTCACACCCCAAAGCTTTGGCCCTCTTGGCAGGGCTGTTGAGCTTCTGGCTCTGCCGGCCCAAGCAACAGGAACTTCATGGGAAAGGCCTCGTCCAGTGCACTCAAGGTCAGGCCAGGGCCATGGGATCCACTCCAGCTTGTGGCTGTAGGCCCAGATGCCAGCAGGGCAGTACTGTGTGGCAATGCTGGGGTTTTGGGTGCTGAAGCAATTGTTGAACCCTCTGTTGAGGGCCACACCTGGGTACTTCGTGTCCCTAACATCACAGATAAGGGAACAGGTACAGAAATGAAGTGGACAGACTAAGAGCAGGATTTTTTTTTTTTGGGTCCGGTCGTGGGGCCTGAACTCTGGGCCTGGGCGCTGTCCCTCAGCTCTTCAGCTCAAGGCTAGCACTCTACCACTTGAGCCACAGCACCACTTCTGGCTTTTTTCTTTTTGCTTATGTGGTGCTGAGGAATCGAACCCAGGGCCTCAGGCATGCAAGGCAGGCGCTTCACCACTGAGCCACCTTCCCAACCCTGCTAAGTGCAGGATTTGAACTGAGATCTAACCCAAGATCTATGCCCTCAGTCCTTAATAACATTGGAACAAGATTTCGTTTGTTCATTTGGTCCAAGCAAGTATAAGACCCTGAGTTCAGATCCCACTACTGAAAAAAAAAAAGACAAGGGCTAGGGGCACATTGCTTGCCTAGCGAGTACAAAGTCCCAAATTCAAACTCTTTCAAAAAAAAATTGGTTCGGCACCTGCTGGCCATAACCAACTAAGACAAAACACGAATAGACCAGAGATTCTTGACATTGTCTCCAAGCAGGTGTTGTCACTGGGCCCTGGAACTAATGTCCTTTGTGAGGTGGCCTGGGAGTTGGCGGCGAGTTCTGTCCTGACCGGGGGAGGGGCGGGCAGAGGCTGGAGCAGGGACTTGTGGAGATGGTTCTCGCCATGCTGGGGGCTCTGTACCCCAGGGCTGGGCTCAGTCTCTTCCTCTTTTACCTCATCCTGGCAGCCGCACTCCTTCGTCCCCAGCCCCTGAGGTAAGACCGAGGTTCTGGAAGGCCATAGCCCTGCCGTCCCTGGAAGTGTGGTGGCTATTCTTGGGCTGGGGGCTTGCCAGGTCCCCCCTCTGGGCCATCCATCTCCTGTTCACAGCAGTCGCACTGGCCTTTGGGGCCACAGATGAGCACCCCAACTTCTCCCACAGGTCCCAGCGGTCTGTTCCAGAGGAATTTTCAGCCCCCCTTGAGCTCTCTCAGCCGTTTTCTAGCCTGGTGGATGGTAGGATTTCTCTTCCCTCTCTGGCCCCTGCTTCCATGGTGGGGACCGTGCCCAGGTGACCCCAGGCCCAGCCCACTGCCCCCAGGAAGCCTCTTTAGGGTTGACCAGAGTCTCATCCCACATCAGTAGCTCCTCCTCTGCCCACCCTCTTCTCTCTTCGTAGACTATGGGGTCCGACCCAAGCACCCGTGGCCACGGGGGCCTCGGCCCCTCCTCTCCCAGGCCAGGCAACGCAAGCGGGATGGGCCAGACATGGCTGAGTATTACTACGATGTGCACGTGTGACGGGCGCACCCCATAAAACTATTCTGTGCAGCAGTGGCTCAGCTCTCGTAGCTTGCGTCATGACAGGACACTCTGGGAGGGGCCCAAGAAGACATGCCAGCTGTGCTCCAGACAGGAAATGGCACTTTAATAGTTGTGGCCAGGTGGTAAGACCATGGTGGGAGGCCTTCTCTCCCTGCAGCTCCCTCCTTCCCCGGGACTGCTGAGCCTGCTGGGGCCCGCGTGCTGGGGTGGTGGAGGTGGGAGCTACCCAGAGGTGCCACCGAGGACAGCAGGGAGGGACAGGGACCTCATCGCCACCTGTTGCCATTTCCTTACTGGAATGTACTCGGGAGGTGGCTGGGCTCAGCCTGAGCTCAGAGCTCCTGGTATGGGGATTGGGCAAGGGGGAAGGTGGGCACTTGCAGGTGGCATGGGCATCATCAAGGCAAGGAGCCAAGAGCCAGAGCCCCTAGCAGGGAAGTAAGGCCCAGGATGGGGTGGAGCCTCTGCTCCCAGAATGCATTCCTTCACAGCCAGGCCCCCCTACCCCCAAGGCCTGCCCCCTCCCAAACCCCGGGCAGCCCGAGCTGTCCTCCATAGATGAATCTAACCCCATATATTACAATAAACTGCATCTGTCTCTCCCCATAACCCTTGCCCTCTACCCTGGGCCAGTGGCCCCCACCTCCCCATCCCTTCAGCAGCAGCTGTCTTGGCTCTGGCCTGGGGCCTGGGGCACACAGAGGGCGCGGCACTGCTACTCCAGGTAGATATCTTCTGTGGGGCATGTATATTCCACAAACTGCTTGTAGAACTGCTGGAACGCACGTCTGGAAGACAGGGGACATGCATTGTTCACTAGGAGCCTCTGCCCAGCCAGGACAGGACTCAACCTGTGACGGGTTTTCAAGCAGAAGCTTCAGTGCCCCCATGGGCTCTGGTTTCTGAGCCCAGTAGCTAGGGGTGGAATGCCAAGCACCAGGCTCTGCAATGGGGCTAGAGGTGGGCTTCCAGCTAGGGAAGGACTGAGGGGTGATGCTTGAGAAAAGCATCTGTAATCAGGGTGAGCTCCAGGGCAGGCCTTGGCAGAATGCATATACATACCCCACAGACTCTGCCAGGGCTTTGGTGGAGTCTTCAGACACAAAGACATGGCAGGCAAATCGGTGGTCGGCAGGGTGTTTGGTAATGAACCCAAAGTACCTGTTAAAAAGACAGGGGTCTGTGAGGCAGGGGCTTGGGCTCTGGGCCCACTCCTGATGGCGGACTACTTTCCTACTTACTTGTTATTCTTTGGATGGTATCCACAGAAAGAGATGTTTTTTAGATGAAAAAAGTGGCTACATTTATTTGCCTACAGGATGGAGAAGAAAAGCCAGAAGGTCATCCAGCCTGCAGAGAAAGGGGCGGGAACACACACACATATACATACACACACACACACACACACACACACACACCCCAAGGCAACACACACACACACACACACACACACACACACACACAGACACACCCCAAGGCAACACACACACACACACACACACACACACACACACACACACACACACACACACACACACACACACACACACACACACACACACACACACACACCAAGGCAACTTTCCTGTGGGTGCTGGGGCTCCAGGAAGGAAGAAAGGGTAAGGGGAGTCACCTTGGCCTCCTGAGCGTCCTCAGCCTTGACCCCTATCTTCACACCCCGCACACTGATCTCAAGGACACAGCTGGAGGGTGGGTTAAAGTGCACGGTGAGGCGGCGTGTGGTAGCAATCTGTCAAGGAGGGACAGGACCACATCAGGGCACTGTCTGTGCCTCTATCAACCCTTCCTGTCTAACAGCCTGGGCCTGAGGCCTGTGTGATTTTTTTCTCCCTCAGACAATATAGAGTAACTTCGAGTGAGCCTTTCACAAGGAGTGAGACCCAGATACCTTTTGCATAGCAGCACAGAGGACATCATTGCCCTTGTGATAGGGAACCTGGACAGAGCCCAGGAACTTCACCCGGAACTGATCCACCCAGTCACTGTTCTTGGCCAGGGCTGGAAAGAAAAACAGAGATTCAGTAGAGCCAGCAGCAAGGGCTCAGAACCAAGCCAAGAGGGAAGTAAGAGGTGAAGAACTGGGCCACCAGAGGGTGCCATGATGCCCTGATGTGTCAGTGCGTGTGTGTGTGTGTGTGTGTGGCGTGTGTGTGTGTGGCGTGTGTGTGTGTGGCGTGTGTGTGTGTGTGTGTGTGTGTGTGTGTGTGTGTGTGTGTGTGTCCTGAGACCTGGGCACTGTCCCTAAACTTTTGTGCTCAAGGTTAACACTTTGCCACTTCAAACCACAAATCCTTTTCAATAGTAGTTAATTGTAGATCTGAAAGATCTACAATTATGTGGACTTTCCTGTCCTGGTTGGCTTTGAAAAGATCTCAGCCTCAGATCCTCAGATCTCAGCTTCCCGAGTAGCTAAGATTACAGGTGTGAGCCACTGGTACCCAGCTGCTGAGTATCATTTTTCTCAACTGAATCCCTTCTGCTTGTGCCACCCCCTCCAGACTGCCAAGATCTGGAGCACATGTTGCTGTGGCAGCAAGTCAGGCAGGCCTGGTGCATCACATGAGGGGCTAGGGTCCCCACAGGTGGGGGCAGGGGTGGGGGGGGAAGCACCTGCCATGTGTTCGGGCTCCTTGGTGACCTCGATGGCATAGTAGGCAGGAAAGACGCCACGGGCACCAGTGCGCATGTTGTAGGCCTCATACCAGTAGTCTTCAGCCTGCAGCTCCACTAGCAGAGGGTCATCCACTTCCAGTTCAAGTTCATCTTCGTGCCGGGGCACGAACCTGTCCCCACAAGTAAGGATTTCATCACTCTGATCCATCCAGCTAGGCCTACTCTGGGGCTGAGAGGCCATGGTGGGTGGCATCATTAGTTCAATAAACACTGCAAGCTGGCTGGCACCTAGAGACCCATGCCATTCAGATATGCAACTGTAGCTTAGGAAACAAAGGTCAAGAACCAAGGCCCTGAAAAGCTGAGAGGTCATAGGAAGCAAGCACCCCACCTAGAAGGGAATTGGGGTGCAGGTTCTATGTGTGGGTAGCCTTCCTCAACACCTCAGTACTAGGCCCTGTGCTCTGCCACTGTCCCCCTGAGTCAGAGTAGATACCAACGGCAGGCCCCTGAGCCATGTATAATGACCAAGGCAAGGAGTGGTGTGGCCCTCACCTGAAAATGGCCCGATGGGTTTGCTCCTGCTCTTCCCCGTTGATGACACAGGAGAACAGCCCGAAGGACTCTGCGCCTGCAGGTGAGGGAAGACCAGAGAAGGGGTTTCCCCACACACACGCACACTCGGAGGCAAGGTGTAGGGGTGGCTAAGCTTCTGCTGCCCTGACTCTTGGGCAGATGGGATTGGGGGGGGCAGGACCCCCTCCCAGGAATGCCCCATTTGAGCAGATCTCCCCGCCCCCAAACCGCTTTCCTGGCTCACTCACTGGAGGAGCGAGAGCGGCCGCTCATGAAGACGTTCAGGAACTTCTTAGAGAAGTGGACATCGGGCTCATCAGGTGTGGAGTCCTCTGAGAGGCAGGTGGGGGGCCGGGGCCGCGGGGCCTCCTCATACTCCTCCCCGATGGCCGACTCATAGGGCGAGGAGGCGGAGGCACAGTTGTCATAGACAGTAGCCGAGTCGCTCTCATCACTGTAGTCACCGAAGCACGGCCGTAGGCTCACCAGCTCCAGCTGTGCGTGCTCGTCCACCACTAGTGTGTACTTGACTGAGTCGTAGGAGAGGGCGCTGGTATCTGAGCTCAGCGAAGCCCGTGGAGGGGGTGGCGGCTCCCCCAGGCTCGCTCGCCATCCTCCACCTGGTGGCTCCACCCGCTCTGGGGAGGACAGGCAGTCGAAGCCCTCGTCCTCCTCACTGATGGAGGGATGGGGCCGCCCTGCAGCTGAGGGGTAGGCAGCAGGGTCTGGATCAGAGCTGACCGACATTCGGCTCTCAGCTGGTGGCAAAAAGGAGGCGTTGGGCTCGGCAGGGTCTGGGGGCCTCTGCACTGGGGTCAGGTAGATCTCCTCGGTGGCCTCTAGCCTCACGTCTGCCTGGTAGTGGATTCGGTCTCGATGTGAGTGGCCCCGGCCACCAGGTGCTGCAGCAGGGGGGCCACCTGGAGGTGCCATCTGGGTGGCAGCAGTGCGGCGACAAGGGCTGTCGGTGGAGGTGCCTCGATCCTTGGTGGGGGCAGGGCTGCTCTGGGGTGGCAGCTCATCGCTCAGGCAGATGTGTTCATGTGGGGGTGTCTGCTCCCCTGGAGGGAAGGTCAGTGAGAGCTGAGAGCAGGGCCCCACTGGAGACCCCTTTCCACGCCCAACTTGCGTGCACAAGCCAGAGCAGCCTCCTCTGGTCTGGCCTCAGCCCTAGAGAGGCACATATAGGACAGGGTGATGGCAGGTACTGGATCTGCTCTTGGCAGTGACCTGAGTGCAGGCCAAGTGAGGTACAACTTGGGAAAGAGGGGTGTGTGTGTGTGTGTGTGTGTGTGTGTGGGGCGCTGGTACTGGGGCTCAAACTCAAGGCCTTGCACTCTTGCTTGGCTTTTTCACTCAAGCCTGGTGCTTTTCCACTTGAGCCCATACCTCCACCTCCAGGGAAAGTGTCTTGACTCACCTGTTTTCAGGGGAGAGGATGATCGAGACACCCGATCCTGCCAACTGTGCTTTTTGCCTAGAGAATTATTATTCAGCGTGTCCTGTGCAGAGAACAAAAGGCCCTTGTGAAGTGGTCAGCAGTGCCGGGCACAGAGAGGCCCTGGCCCTGCCCCCATTGGGCCCACCCATAGGCCATCCCTAGGCTGTGTGCTGTATTTGGCCTGCCTCCTCCTGCCAAGGGCCTTACTCCCAACCCTCCTCAGACAGGCAGGATGGTTAGCAAGTCACTGCTCTCCTTCGTAGGCCTGCTGGCTCTAGATGGCTCTCCCTTCCTTCTGGCTTGGGGAAGTTGGCCCACCCCCAGGGAGCTGTTCTTATCAGCCTGAGCCCAGTGGGGATGGTCATGTGTGGAGGAGTGGAGGAGGTGGGAAAGGAGTTGTCAGGAGAGACAACAAGCCCCACACAGACGGTGTACATATCAAAACCAGCCTGAGTGGAGGACAAGGTGAGCCCCTGCCCAGGAAGGAAGAAGGGTCTTTCCTAGCAGCTGGCCTGGGGGCCTGGGATGAATCATCCAAATGAGGGCTCCATAACACTCCCCCCACACACCCTGGTCACATGTGCCTGAGGAATGACACACGTAATCAGCAGCCCTCCCTCCTGGATCTCCAGGACTGCCTTGCCCACATTCACAGCGCCCTGGGGCCCCTCCACAGTGCCCACACACAAGCCTCCCCCCCAACCCCTTGCTGAACTTGGGCTTCCTCTCCTGGAAACACCCTCCAAAGCCCTCACATTCATGAGTTGGGTTGCCAGAGGATCCTGGGAAAGGGACCAACCCCCTCCCTGCTGCCCAGGCACCACCAGCAGCTCCACCTCCCCAAGCGCCCAGCATCTCCCTACTCTCCTGACTGGGAAGACAAAGGGCCTCAGCTGCTCCCCCTCAATTCAACTTCCCTTGGCACCCAGCCACCCACCAGGGGCCCCAGGCCCCCAACTCAGCCAAGCAGCTCCCTCCTCTTTTAGCCGTCTGGAATTCTCAGCTGCCTGGCTGCTGTCTATACGCTTCCATCCCCAGCTCCTTACAAGTTTTCTCCTGACCTGTTTCTGCCCCTACCCTCACCAGGAGCCCTGTAATCTACAGGGGAACCCCGTCACTGCCCCAGGTGCCCAACTCGTTCCAACTTCTCGAAGCCTTGTTCTCCCACCCCCACCCCCTACCTCTCTCCTCATTCCAGGCCTTCCATTGGCCCTGGAGACCCCTTCACTCCCTCAAGTCTCCACGCAGTGGACTGGACTCGGCCTGCGCCTTGGAGCCCTCCGCCTAGAGGAGGGCCTCCCTTCCTGCCCTGCTGGGTGGAAGACTCGTTCCTGGTGGCGCCGGGGACCGCCACGTCCCTCCTCCAGCTGCCCAGACCTGGAGGGCCGAGTTAGGCCCAGGACGCGCCCCCTCCTGCTCCGAGGCCCGCCCCAGGGCGCCGCCCCCTCAGCTCCACCCCCGCCCCCTTCCCCCGCTTCCCGCGCCTCACCTGAGACCGGGGCACCTGCGGGAAAAGGTTGAGCGTGGTGGGCCGCTTGGGTCGGTATGTGTCACCGCTGCCCGTGCCCTGGCCTTGGCCCTGGCCGCGGGGCGCCGGCTCCTGACCTGATTCGGCCTGGGGCGGCCCCGCTCCCGACCGCCGTGACGCGCGCTCCTCATCTTCGTCCTCCTCGTCGTCCTCCGCGCCGGGAGTGTCCCCCGCTGCATCGATCAGGTCCATCTGCAGCATCTCCGCCTGCAACCGGCTCCCCGCGCCGCCGCCGCCCGCAGACAGCAGCCCGGTGCGCGGGGGCTGCGCGGCGGGGACGGAGGGGCGTCAGGGGGCGGAGCCACGCCGGGGAGGGGCAGGGCCGAGGCTGCGGCGCACCGCCCCCTGCCGGGCGAGTCCATTCCGCGGCCGTGGGGGGGGCGGGGGTAGGAACCAGGGACGGAAGAACTGCTCCCGTGCTCCCCCGCGAGGCAGCACTGGGACGCTCCGCCCCCCGCCCCCCGCCCCCCGCCGCCCACCCCGCAGTCGGTGCCTTTGACGGCCCGCACCTCTCGGCTCCCCCGCCGCCCCCCCCCCCCGCCCCTTGGCTCCTGGTACCCTCCCGTTTCCTTGGCAACGGCCGGTGACCTCACCCGGGTTGTAAGCCGAGCCCAGAGTGAAATCACTGCTGTTGCCATGGGGACGCAAGGGTCGCCAAGGAGGTTCGCGTCCCATCAGGGATGAGGGACCATTAGTATATGAAGAGGCCTTTTGAGGAAAACTAGGAAAACCGAGTCTCACGCGGGAGGGGGAGACGGGGAGGGCTGCAGCGAGGACCCCAGGAGGCCACAGCAGCCGGAAGAGGGACGCCGAGGGGGAGGGGCAAGCGGCTGGCTCGGGCCCTGCCGCGTCCTGCCAGTTTGCCCCAGCCCAGGCCTAGGCCCCTCTGCCCTGAGGCCTTCCCTTGGCTACCTGTGCCTGGGTAGTCCCGAGCGCTTGCTAGTCCCAGCTCTGCACCAACGGCTTGGCACCTTGGACAGATCCCCTAACCCTTCCTTCCTTCATTGCTTAACTGGCCCAATACTGATGCCCAGCCCGGCTTGTCAGGGAAGCAAGGACGGGCTGAAGTGTATATGGAATCCTACTCTCTGCTCTTGCCTGCAATTCCCCTCCTCCTTCCCCCTCCTTTGCCAGCTTCACTAAGGCCCTTGGCATACTACCTTAGGTAGCTACTGACTCAGGGCCCTGGCTGCTTGCAGGGAACCCTCTTGAAGGCTTTGCTTGGGGAGAGGGTGGTGGCAGAGCCCAGAATATGGAGTGTCTGCCTCTATCCCTTCCTAGAGGGTTAGGGTACAGGAACTAGAGCATTATCTTCACCCTTTAGTTTCCTCTTCCTTGACAGAGCCTCCAAACTTTTGGGGTAGACAAGAGTTCAAGCACCCCCTCCACAACTCACTCTAGGTGGGGAGATGCTCTGAGTTCTAAAACCTGGCCCTGTGTAGTACCTTCCATGTCCTAGCCACTTGGCCCTTCCCTCCTGATCTAAAGATGGTGGGAACCCCCACCCAGCCCAGGTACCCAGGTGCTATAAATCTCAAGGCAACATTTAGATCTTTAGGGACCAGAGAATGCCATCTTCCCCATGCCAAAGCCAAGGCACCCAAAGCAACAACAACACTGGGCCAACCCCTCAGTGGAGCCAGAGGGGCCAGGAGGCCAGGTGGCGTGGGTGACATGGTGCAGTGGCAGCCGGCAGCCATGGGAACTCTTCCAAAAGTGCCTTGGCTCCTTTCCTGCCCCAGAACACTGCGGATTCCACTGGACTCCACCCTGTGCTGCCTCAGCCTCTGCCAGGCTGCTCCTGAAAGGGTTTCCCTTTACTCTGATTGCCCCTGTCCCACTTCTGAACAACTCCTGTTCTCTCTCTGTGTGGGCAATATATAGTCCTGGCAAGGCAGATAAAATAATTCTGACCGAGTAGCCAAGCACTATCCTGGACATTTCTTGTGTGTTACTTTACTTCCTTTGTACATATGAGGATGCCCTCACTCCTACCCCTACTCATTGTACCACCTCAATTAGCCACCCCACTCCCACACCAAATCCTTACCCGGAGAGACAATGTGTCTTTGCACTGCAGGCTGATGCCACACTCATCAGTGATCTCTGAGAGGTCTTCATCCTCAAACTCCTCCAGGCTGATGTCATGGGTGAGCCTGGTGGGAACAGGAAGCCAGAGTTACAACTGGGGCCTAGGAGATCAACTGTCATCTCCCAAGGGGTCAATCCCCCCAAAGGGTAAGAGTGGGTCCACCTGCACCAATGAAGGGGAGACAGCAGGCAGAGGAAGAATCTGGGCTGAGGTGGGAGCTGGTTTCTCCAGCTCCTCCCAGCTGGGAGTCATCCATGCTCTTGCCAACCAGAAGGCAGAGCTAAAAGGCTCAACTGCTAAGAGCCTTGGCTCTGCCAGAGAAATGGCTCTCAGGGCCAAGGCAGGTGCCAAAGCCTGTTTACTGCAGAGAGTCAGAGGTGAGATGAGACTCTAAGAACTGCCTGGAAGCCAGGCATCATATCTGTAATTCTAGTTATTCAGGACGCTGAGATCTGAAAATCATGGTTTGAAGCCAGCCTGTGCAGGAAAGTTTGTGAGGCTGAGACTCCTATCTCCAATTAACCAGAAAGAAAACAAAAAACTGGAGCTATGGCTCAAGTGATAGAGCATTAGCCTTGTGCAAAAATCTCAGGTTCAGTGCCGAAGCCCTGAGTTCAAGCCCTAGAACCGACACCAAAACAAAACAAAAATGCCTAGAGTAGGGGGTTCCTGTACAGTCCACAGTACCAAGACCCAAAGGGCTTCAGGACAGGCACAAAAGCCTCTGGGGGTGACCCGTGCCCCACCCAGGAAAAAACAAGCTTTTGTGTTCTGGGAACAAGCAAGGGGAATGAATCTAGGGTAGGTCCATTGCAGGAGGAACTATGCTGTATTCCCAGTTTGTCCCCCTGACTAGGCTTGTCTGGTGGAAGGACCCTGAGCAGGTGGGGGCTGGAGGCCCAGGCGGAGGCTGGAAGCCCCAGGAGACAAAGCAGACAGAGCATCTGGACATCAGAACATCATAACACTAACTGGCACCCCTGGGGCTCCAGCCCACCTTGGAGTGCAGGGCTGGCCCAGCACTATGGTGCCACCTGCTCCCCCTACTCTTGCATTCTGCGTAGTCTGGGGTCGATGGGACATTGGAGAGAACGCCTGAGCAAAGCTGTCCCAAAGATGACCTGAGAGAGTATGCACCCAGGGGGAAACCCTCTCGCCCAAGGTCATTCAGGAGGTGTGGGGGCCCAGCCTCACCCCCAGGGGAATGTAGTAGCACCAAGCCCCTGCCTCTCCTCTCTCAAGAAGAGGGACCCTGAGCTCAATGAGGCCCCCTCCCTCCCCATGCTCAGCCCCCAGCCAGCTTCCAGTCCCCCTACCAGTGCTCCCACTGATCTTCCAACCAGCTGTCATTGTCTGGGCTCGAATCCATCTTCAGTACCAGCTGCATGGAGAGCCCTGCCCAGCTGGGGGGCTGAGGGGTCCCAGGGCTGCCCTCTCATGCCCAGAGGGGTCGGGGGACCAGCGCTTAAGGCAGGGCTGAGGCCTCCAGCCTTCACAGCTTGGGCCTGCCTTCCTGCATCCTGCCCGCTGCTGCAGAAGCCCGGGGAGCTCATTAAAAATAGATAGGCCGGAGAGAAGGCAGCAGCTGCCGACCCGAGCCCAGGCCTAGCTCCTCCTGGCCCAGCCCTCAGCGGCAGCAGCTTCCTCCCCAGCCCCCGTAGCTCTGCGACGACGACGTCTCCACCTCCCCCCCGCTGGGATCAGGTTACAGCAATCAATGCCACCGGCTCCACCTGCCCTTCCACTGCCCCTGTTGGAGCTGGGGTGAACCCCCTCTGCCCAGGCTTGTAAGCAGATGGCAAAAATCTGGGATGCCCCCCCCCAAGCCAGCCCCTGATCTGCTTTAAAGGGCCAGCGCCACCCTGCCAGGTAGAAGATGGAAGGGCTTCTGATGAGGACCGCATCAGCGCAGCCACAGGTTTAGCCCCACACTGGGAAGGTAAGATGAGGGTATCAAGGCAGCTCCCAGCTGGTGTGTGTGTGTGTGTGTGTGTGTGTGTGTGTGTGTGTGTGTGTGTGTGTGTGTGACTATTTGGTGGTGCATATAGACAGGTGGGCTGGGGTGGGAGATAGCCCAGAAACCAGAGCAGTCCAGCCAGCTAGGATGATGTTTCAGCCCCGGGCCCAGAACCAGTGGCCACACTAGTAAGTGCTGCCTGGAAGGTCACTGGCAAGGCCAATGGCTCAGGAGGTGTGGTGGTACTCAGCCAGTATGAAGGAGTCTGGAGTCAGTCCCAGAAGGGGTCTGTGGCTGGCTCCCCTGCTCTGCTGGTGAGCCCTGTGCATACCCACAGCCCAGCCTTCACCCAACTCCTGCCTCTGCCCTCCCAGACATCCCCACGGGTCTGCCTGACTCAGTCTCCACAAACCAGCATATGCCTGCTTCTGTGCTTGGCATTCAAAGCCCCAGATCCATGTGTGATCAACTGTTTACTGCTGCATCCTCAAGGGTGGTCCCTGTTCCTCCCCAGTCCCTCATCCAAGGCTTGAATGCAGCACATGGCAGGCCCTCAAATGGTGCTTGCCAAAGGAATGCTCAGGAGCCCATTCCCCTGGCCCTCTTGTGTAGTTGGGGTCTCTTTTTTGCCTGGGTGCCAGAAAGTATGGGGTGGGATCCAATGAGACTAGGTCTCCATCACAAACAGACCACTCCACTTCCTACTACTCCAAAGGAAGATGGGGTTCGCACCCCCCACCCTGTACCTAGAAGGTGATCAATATATGTCCTCTCCCTCCCTCCAAGCTCCTGCCAAGACTGGATGGTTCTGGAGGGCATCCTGCACACACTAGGTGCTTAACATACACTTGTCAGATGTTTGTTAAAGGACAGCCTCAGCCTCTGAAACGCTAGAAGGAAGGGTCTCAGTGCAGCTCTCCCAGAATCGGCCTCTTCCTTGCATGATAGCATAGGGAGGGGCAGGGCCAATGGAATCATCCTTTACCCAAGAGGGAAAGGGGCAGGCAGGCAGACAGCCTGTGCTTGATGTCTGACTCCCAGGGTCCTGGAAAAGTGCTCTGTCTGCCCCCTACCCAAGGGACAGCCCCAACCTGGGATCCAATAATCTCATGTCAGGCCTGGAAGCAAATCCTGGCCAAACCGTGCCTGCCTGGCCTCAAACCTGCTGCTGTGGGGCTGGGAAGGTGGCTCAGTGGTAGAGTGCTTACCTTGCATGCATGAGGCCCTGGGTTCGATTTCTCAGCACCACATAAGCAAAAAGCCGGAAGTGGTGCTGTGTGGCTCAAGTGGTAGAGCGCTAGCCTTGAGCTGAAGAGCTGAGGGACAGCGCCCAGGCCCAGAGTTCAGGCCCCACGACCAGACCCCCCCACCCCCCCCCCCCAAAAAAAAGAAACCTGCTGCTGTGCATCTCCTTACCACCTTGGAGGAGGGGGGCTAGGCCAGCCATTTCACAGATGAGGAGCTTTAACTAAAGGCTTGGGAGCTTCAGCTTCCCTTGGCCACCTATAGGATGAGATGGGTATTTCCTGCCTGCCACCTCAGGATGCTGAGGGGATGAACAGAACAGAGTATCTGGGTTACAAAGGCTGGATGAAGAAGTCCTTTGGCGAGTCACCCCTTGCTCAAGGCCCTGCACTTTTCTTCTCTAGGCACCCAGTCAGAGCCTGTAAACCTTTCCTGGAAGGAAGGACCTTGATGCCTCTGGGTTCATAGGCTCCTGTGAGGAAGGAAGATGGGGGCAGGAAGAAATGGGGAAAAGAGGAAAAGGAGGACAGAAAGGAGTCAGGTCCCTTCCTGACCTTGCCTAATGCATCATCTTAGAAACCTGAGCCTTGAGCCAAATCCCTGGAGGCCACCCAGCAGAGTCACAGCCCAGGCCGGTTAGCTGCATCTCCCCAATCCCCTTTCTTCTCTCTCCTTTGCCAGTCAATCAGAACTCCTTGCCCATTCTGGTGGACACCCACCAAATTAACATTTGTTGGCTCCTGTGTCATGGAGTTCGGTCTCTGGGGACCTCCTTGACCTTTGACCTCTTTTGACCCTCCTGGCCCCTCTTCCTGGATGAACCTTCCTTCCTCCCACTCTGGGACCCAGACTCTGTATTCACAGTGTCCCACACTACCCAGCCCAACCTGGGCCAGGCTCTCCTCCATGGCCAATCCTTCCTTCCTTCCTTCCTTCCTTTCTTTCTCTCTCTCACTCTCTCTCTCTCTCTCTCTCTTTCTTTTCCATCATGGGGCTTGAACTCTCCACCTGGTCACTGTCTCTGAGCTCATCAGCTCAAGGCAAACACTCTACCACTTGAACCACAGCTCCACTTCCAGTTTTCTGGTGGTTAACTGGAGATAAGAGTCTCATGGACTTTCCTGCCTGGGCTGGCTTTGAACAGCAATCCTCAGATCTCAGTCTCCTGAGTAGCTAGGATTACAAGTGTGAGCCACCAGTGCCCGGCTGGCTGAGCCCTTTCTGATTGGTCATTTCAAGGCAGGAGCAGGCTGAGTGTGGAGGACACGTGAAGTAAGGGCCAGGTGAAGGGCGACACTTTTGCTGAACAAGGCCAGAGGGAGCCAGGTCAAGAAGTCGCTCTGGAGCCCTGAGTGCTGGCTGTGCTGTATGAAGTACAGGTGTCCCAGCCATGGTGCCAGAGGCCACCTAAGGTCCAGGTCCAGGCGACTAGTCTGTCTGTGTCTCTGAAGCCCTGAGTCCTGAGCAGGACTGGGCCACAAGGAGTCCCTAGGACACCTGCCCTGCTTCGCTAGCCTCCTGCCCCTCAAAGGCTTGGCAGCAACTCCGACCTCACAGTCCAGGCCAATCCACCTGAATGGTCGGTGGCTTACTTGGTTCTCTTGGTGGTGGCTCTGGGGTGGCTGGAACTTTCCTTTGAGTTATGTGACTGGTGGGGGTCTCCCCTGAGTGGCCCACACCAGTGGGATCATTTCTTTCTCCATCAGCTTGTCTGGTGCCTAATAGGTGTTTAATAAACATTGAATGAATGAACCGCAAGTATCCTGGGCCTTTCTAGATTTCTCCCTTGCAAATCTCTTAAGGCAGTCCTCACTTGGATTCAACTCCTGTATCCTTCCCCATAGGGTAGGTGTGTGGGGTTGGCTGTCTGGGCCTCTGGGAAGATGGTCCTGGCTGCAGTTGGGGTGGGGGTGGGGTCTGGGTGAGTCTAGGCTCACCCTTAGAACCCTCACATCCCTACTGCTGGCTCTGGGTGCACACTGGGGTCAGGTTTGGTTTGTCCTGGGGTCTGGAATCATCTACCAGACCAAGGGCATACTGGCATCCTCTCTAGTAGAAACTGAATCCAGCCCAAGACATGAATCCCAAGTGACAGCTCTCCCTCTGGGGTGGAAAGTGCTCGTTCCAAACACTGTTGTGCACGCAGAACTCTGGGAAGCAATGATTCTACGTTGGGGAGACTCCACTGAGGGAATGTGGAGCCCTCAAGGGTGTGTGGGGGCTGCGGAGCTTCTGGGGGAGGGACGTGACACCTTGTGGCATGCCGAGGTAAGGCCCGTGTATGAATGTAGACAATGGCAACTGGTACAGTGGGCAAACCGGCACAACACATGAGTTGTGGCTTCCCCGGGGTGAACGGCATGCGGGGAGCAACACACACAGGCACACGTAGTTGAGGACACAAAGTTGTGTGATGTGGCAGACTAGGGAGACCTCGTTTTCTTTGCTCTTCAGGACAGACTTTGGGTGCTGGTCCCCACCAAGTGCAAACTGGGCTCCCCGTCCCAGGCTGAGGCTGCTGCCCTCCCCCACAGCTGCAAGTTTACGCTCACTCAGTATGTGCACAAAGCCCCAGAGCCTTGTACGTGTAGGCATGAAACACATGCCCATCATAGGCAGGAGTCGGCTGCCTAAGGCCTGTGCTCCCCTGTGAATCTCCACGGACAGAACAGGGCAAGCACCTGGTAGGAATTCCTACGGACTTCTTTCTTTTCTTCTTTCTTTTTTGTGCTGGTATTTAGGGCTTGCACTCAAGGCCCGGGCATTGTCCTTGAGCTTTTTCCATTCAAGGCTAACATTTTACCATTTGAGCCACAGCTCCACTTCCATCTTTTTGGTGGTTAGTTGTTGATAAGAGTCTCACAGAGTTTCCTGCCCAGGCTGGCTTTGAACTATGATCCTGAGATCTCAGCCTTCTGAGTAGCTAGGGTAACAGGTATGAGCCAGCTGCAGCTGGCTTCCTACAAAATTCTACATAAATACCAACAGGGGTCAGGGAACAAAGATATTGCTGTGGAATAAGCGACCTCCATCTTGGGTAGTGATGAAGTGGTCATTCGATTTGTGGGAACCTTTGGGCCTCAGGCTAGAATTGGCTTAGGGTGTATATCCAGGTATGCACAGATTTCAGAGAGCTAGAGGTGAAACCTGTCACCTCTTGTGCCCTGCACCTGAGGATTGACAGGAGCTAGACCACTGGCCATCTCTCTAAAGGCTAACATTCTTCCAGGCCTTGGCTATAGCCTGGTCCCCCCCTCCCTCTACTGAGTGTCAGACCACAAACTAACTACTTGCATAAATCCTGTAACTGGGTCCCAAAGATCATCAATCTGAATTCTGCAAGTTTCATGGGTTTTTTGATCACTCTGTTCACTATCTCATCTTCCACTTGACACCCCACTTTCAGGGAGCCCCAACAATACCCTGGACTATCACTGTTGCTTCTCTTCCACCTGTCAGACTGGGCCCCTCCCCTAAATCATTCTCACTTCCTGTTCCCAGCTGCTCTCCTGCTCTCCTCGCTGCCCAGCAGCCACAGCAC